TTGATATAAGAGGACAAACCTTAGATGTACAGTTAGACGCCTCTAAAACATTAAATCATTGACAATTTATTAATCCACAAAGTTCAAAATAACACATGGTAATTAATCAAATTTGAGTTATTTAGTACAATACGTATAACTCAGAAATCCCTTGGCGAGCTACTTTGAAAGGGATGGAAAACTACTGGTAGCTCCAGAGCTACAAGCTGGAAACTTCTGCAGTAAAGAAACTATCTTTAAACTGTACATCGTTTCCTAGTTTTGACTTTGACTTTGACATTTCTAATTTCCACTGCTCTGTACAGGTGTCAAATAAGTCTGAGTTTCTGTGGATGCGCTGGTGGCTCCAGCATCCTTCTATGATTTGCTGTGGTCTCAAAATATAAATAAGAATAATATAATTTGAATAATAATTTAAATGTTATTGTAATGAACTTCAGTCTCACAGTTTGGAAACACGGCCAATGTGGAATATTTCAGGCAAAGTACTTTCAGCTCCATCACAACCATGTGCTGTACCCTCCATCTGAAAAGTTACACAGTAATAATCCCTGGGACATTAAGTCTGTTTCCATGACAACAGAGTTCTTGTGGTTACAGATGGTGTTTTTGCAGGAAAATGTGATGATTTGGGTTTACCCCCTGTTCAGCCCTGGTTTAACCGGTCCAGTCCTGTAGGTCCAGTCCTGTTTGAGTCATTAGGTCATTAGGACATTGGGAAACTGTGAAAAGAGCGTGTAACATTGTTCATTCTCAACTCATAATCTGAGGGACTATTTTCAGTTACAGTTTTCTGTGTTTTAATTTAACATACGCAGTGTTGGGAAGGTGACTTTTAAAATATATTCCCCTACAGATTACAGATTACACACACCAAAATTGCTTAAAGTGAGTAACGCAATCTGAATACTTTGGATTACTTGATATTGTCCTGCTTTTTAACTACATGAATGTAACAGCCACATCCTGAAAATTCTTGTTTGTTTTCTTCAAATTGTCTGTTGAGCCCAAGTCTCCATGAACAGACTTTTGTTTTACTGTAGAGAAGCAAAGACGAGGAAATCACTAGGACAAAAGATGTTTTGTCTGTTAAAAGAAAATAAAAAGTCCAGTCTGTCCTTAACCAGATTAAAAATATTATTGATAGAGAAATGATTTTTATATGAGATCACTGCTGCCTTCAATTATGTCCACACTACTGTTAAGTTTCATATTGTTTAGACCTGTTTTAGTCCTGGTTTTAGTCCTAGTTTAGTCCTGGTTTAATACTGATTCAGTCCTGGTTTAGACCTGGTTTTAGTCCTAGTTTAGTTCTGGTTTAGTCCTGGTTTTAGTCCTAGATTAGTCCTGGTTTAGTCCTGGTTTTAGTCCTGGTTTAGTCCTGGTTTTAGTTCTGGTTTAGTCCTGCTTTTAGTCCTGGTGTTAGTTCTGGTTTAGTCCTGGTTTAGTCCTAGTTTCGTCCTGGTTTATTCCAGGTTTAGTCCTGGTTTTAGTTCTGGTTTAGTCCTTCTTTTAGTCCTGGTGTTAGTTCTGGTTTAGTCCTGGTTTTAGTCCTAGATTAGTCCTGGTTTAGTCCAGGTTTAGTCCTGGTTTTAGTTCTGGTTTAGTCCTTCTTTTAGTCCTGGTGTTAGTTCTGGTTTAGTCCTGGTTTTAGTCCTAGATTAGTCCTGGTTTAGTCCTGGTTTTAGTCCTAGTTTCGTCCTGGTTTAGTCCAGGTTTAGTCCTGGTTTAGTCCTGGTGTTAGTTCTGGTTTAGTCCTGGTTTAGTCCTAGTTTAGTCCTGGTTTTGTCCTGGTTTAGTCCTGGTTTAGTCCTGGTTTTAGTTCTAGTTAAGTCCTGGTTTAGTCTTGGTTTTAGTCCTGGATTTACTCCTGGTTTAGTCCTAGTTTAGTCCTGGTTTAGTCCTGGTTTAGTCCTGGTTTAGTCCTGGTTTTAGTTCTAGTTAAGTCCTGGTTTAGTCTTGGTTTAGTCCTAGTTTTAGTCCTGGTTTTAGTCCTGTTTAGTCCTGGTTTTAGTTCTAGTTAGTCCTGGTTTAGTCTTGGTTTTAGTCCTGGTTTAGTCCTGGTTTTAGTCCTGGTTTAGTCCTGGGTTTAGTCCTGGTTTAGTCCTGGTTTAATCTTAGTTTAGCTTTGGTTTAGTCCAGGTTTAGAGGTGCACAGGAGGAGGTGTGGTCCGTCTCTTCTTTAAATACAAAGTGATGTCTGAATTTCGAAGACACAAATGTGTTTTTAGCCGTTCACTGCTGCCTCTGTTCCACTGGCTCCTCCACCTCGTCCAGTCTGACACCACCAATGTTAACAAGACATTTACATTACAGCTCTTACTGCCGCGTTCTGCTTGGGTTTCCAGCAATGAGTGGAATTACCGAAATAATAATAAATAAATAAACATAAAAATGGGATATAACAGCAAAATACCATTGTGTAATCCATTTATTTCAACAAAGTAACTGTAATCCAATCTCCACTCATTGAAACTGCAACTGTAACCGAATACAATTACTCATAATTTGTACTCTGTAATCTGTTACTCCCCGATTAATTGTCCAGTTGTCCCTATTTTTGATCCCTGCCAACAGTAAAGAGAGACACACACTGAGGTAAAATTCAGAAAAGCTGCTTAAAAAACGACCAAAACGCAAAGAAAATGTGACTGTACTGACCCACATTAGTAACGAGTCTGTGACAATTTACCTTAATTACGCACTCGTTACGTCCCAGTTTTGCTTTGAAAATCTTGTCTCCCTACACACTGTGGAACATTCTAAGCAGATCACACACAGGAGACAAGGACACGGTTTAAGAAATCACAAAGAGCATCCGTCTTTAGGCCTAAACAGACCGAGGGCAGCCCTGTTCACAGCGATTTGAACCACATCCTGTTACAGTCAAGGTTTGTGATCGTGCCCATAGACTCAGACTAGATGAACCCTACATTAAAGTTTATATTTGAGTGACCAGACGTCCCATATTTACCCGGGACAGTCCCAGGTTTGAGCCCTGTGTCCCCAAAACTAGTTATTTGTCCCAGTTGTCCCAATTTCTGACCAGCAACAGTAAAGAGATGTATATATTGTTATTTGTTAAGCTTGTAATATTTGTAAAGTAGGGGTGTGCAAAAATATCGGAATATCAATATATCATATAATTTAATGTGTATCGATATTTCACCAAGAGTATTTTTAGGTGTGTTTTACTAAATTATTTTGTTACAGCTACAGTTTTGTTGCTTGTGGAGTGAAAGGAAACTCATTTATGCGACACATTTGACATTTTTACCGTTTTGATGATTAAAATGTTTGTGTTTCATATGAACTTTGCAAAAGAAGTAATTTAACAAAGACTTTAGTATCACAGCCACGATTTAGCCTTTATTTTTTATTGAACCGTATCGAATCGATTTGAAATATATCATATCGAATCGAAAGTGCACTGTATCCAGATATGTATCGTATCGTGGCCTGTGTATCGAGGTATGTATCGTATCGGTAACTTCTTAATGATACCCAGCGATATTGTGAAGCCAGACTGACGCTTTGCACTCCTTGTTCCATCTTTTAAAATGCCTCAAAAGTGAAAGTATGAGTATGAGTATGAGTATTCACATATAATTGAGGACACATTCAAAACAAAGAAAAGGGAGAACTTTAACATGTAGGTGACAGAAGCCCACAAAAACCCGTCTGGCTCCACTCCCATGATGCACCTGCACTCGCGTAAATAAGGAACCAGAGACCACAAAATAATACAAAAATAAACAATACTTAAGTAAACTTATGATTAACATGAGCAGTGATTAACTGAAAGACTTTAGTTTAGGGATCACATATTAATAGCTAACTAAGTGGTAATTGTTTTTCTAATTAGCTGTTATTTACTATTAATGCTTATTACGATTCCAGTGTGTGCACCAAAACATCTATTATAATCTCCGCTACTTTAATGGGAAGAAAATAGTTAATGGGTTAGAACTCACAACATGCATTGAAAGTACTTTATAAATACTAACAAAGGTGTAATTAAACACCTAAAATGCATTTTACTATTAACTAGCTCTTAATATGTGGTCCCTAATGTGAAGTGTTACCAAAAATGTAAATAGATCAAATTATTTTTAAGCAAATAATCAACAAGTAATCATGTTATGACCAAAAATCATGCATTTTAAGTAAATATAAAATCAAACAAAATGAGAATAATTATCTCAGTAAAAAAACAAACAAACAAACAAACAAACAAAAACGACTGGGTTTAGGCTCCAACAAAGCAAAAACCATGCTTGAAAATGACCATAAGACAAAATAAATAAATTCATAAATAATAAAATAATTAAGAATAAATAAATAAATAAATTAATACATGAATTAATTAATTAATTAATTAATTAATTAAATAAAATAATAATAATTAATTAATTAAAAAATTATATAAATAAAATAAAAAAATACAAATAATAAAAAATACAAATAAAAAAATAAAAAAAAATTAAAAAATTATTAAAATTAATATATATAATAATATATAAATAAAACAAACAAAAAACTAAAATAGAATAAAATAAAATTATAAAATAAAATAAAAAAATGAATACAAATAAAATAGAATAAAAAATGAATACAAATAAAATAGAATAAAATAAAATAAAATAGAATAGAATAAAATTAAATAGTATAGAATAGAATAAAATAAAATAAAATAAAAATAAAAATAAAATAGCAGTCCCTCAGATTATGAAGAGAATGGACAATGTTACGTCCTATTTTCACAATTTTATTTATACCAATCATCCCAATCAAGGTGTGTCACAGTTTTTAATTCTGAAATTCTAGTCATCCTAATTTATTATTCTTTATTTAGAAAGAGAGAGAGAGAGAAAAAAAATGTCTGTGAACCATATTGGAGCTCTGAGATTAACCAGAGCTGAAAGACGCCCCGTGATCACACTCGCTCTGTCCGGGGAGGAGGACACTTGTTGCCGCGGGTCTCGCCTCGCCTGCCCCGGGGCTCCTCCTCTTCGCGGATGTGGAGCTGTTTGTTCCGGTGTTTGGAGCCGTGAGAGACGTCTGTGATTGGCACTGAGCTGACATCTTCCTCCGGCGACACATCCATCCAACCGTGAACCGATCGATAAGCACTGATCCAGGCGTCAATCCGAGCACCAGAGGCCGCCGTCTGGACGCCTCTCTTCCCCGCGAACGGCGCTCTGGTCTCGGCGTGGCGCTAGACCTCTGCTCGGGGAAGACAGCGCTGGCAACGGGTCCACTGGTGTCCGGGATTCCTCCACGCTCCAGGAGGTTTTTTGTTTTTTTTAAGAGACATGTTCTATTAAAAGTCTGGACATGTACACGGTTTGGTAGTTTCAGCGGGAGGCGGTGGTAAACAAGCCGGTCCTGGAGCGCTTTTGCCCGGGTAGGAGCTAAAGGCTGGGCGGCTCCGCTGGTTCGGCTGGTCCGCATGACTCGGACTAAGAAGGCGGCTTTTCCCTCGGGTTAGTCCAGGATAAGACGTGGATTAATGCGTTCCAAGTGGGCCTGTTTAACCACACGTAGGACTGGTTTATCCCGGGTTAGTAAGCGAGACTATCCCGGATACACTTAATCTGTTTTACGGTTAAACGGTTAAACGGTTCGACGGGATTCCTCCTCGCCAACACGCCGGTGACAGCGCACGTTTTCCGGGCGTCGCTGCGGAGACGTCCCGCTGACATGTCCTGGCTGTGGAGGCTGGACTCTGTAGTGTTCTGATTCACGCCGGGAGACGTGAGCATCCCCGGGCGGGAGGACATGGCGGACGGCGCCCGGACCGCGAGCCCCGTGGCCGGGAAGAGGCGCGGGCAGCAGCCGTCGCCCTCGCTCCGGCCCCGGCTTCCAGAGCCCCGCCACCGGGCACAGCTTCAGGAAAGTGACGCTGACGAAGCCCACGTTCTGCCACAGCTGCAGCGAGTTCATCTGGGGGCTGGCGGGCTTCGTCTGTGAGGGTAAGAGTCTCTGAGGGCCGGGGGGACGGGGGGACCGGGTAAGAGCTCTGGGACCGGGTAAGAGTCTCTGAGGGCCGGGGGACACGGGGGACCGGGTAAGAGTCTCTGGGGGGGGGACCGGGTAAGAGTCTCTGAGGGCCGGGGGGACAGGGGGGACCGGGGAGTCTGACGGGGGACGGGTAAGAGTCTCTGGGACCGGGGAGTGAGGCCGGGGGACAGGGGGACCGGTAAGAGTCTCTTTGGGCCGGGGGGCTTCGTCTGTGTGAGGGTAAGAACCTCTATGGGCCCGTGGGGACCGGGTAATAGCCTCTGTGATTCGGGGGGGACCGGGTAAGACCCCCTTTGGGCCGGGGCCTTCATCTGTGAGCCGGGGGCATAGTCTGTGTGGGGGGAAGAGCCTCTGTGGGCCCGTGTAGACCCGGTAAGAGCCTCTATGATTCGGGGGGACCGGGTAAGAGCCTCTATGGACCGGGGGTCTTCGTCTGAGGACCGGGGGGCTTTGTCTGTGAGGGTAAGAGCCTCTTTAGGCCCATGGGGACTGGGTAAAAGCCTCTCTGGGCTGGGGGGCTTCGTCTTTGTGAGGGTAAGAGCCTCTGAGGGCCGAAGGTGACCGGGTAAGAGCCTCTATGGACCAGGGGTCTTCGTCTGAGGGCTGGGGGGCTTCTTCTGTGAGGGTAAGAGCCTCTGTGGGCCGAAGGGAATCAGGTAAGAACCTCTGTGGTTCAGGGGAGACCGGGTGAGAGCCTCTATGGGCTGGGGGGCTTCGTCTGTGTGAGGGTAAGAGCCTCTTTGGGCCCGTGGGGACCGGGTAATAGCCTCTGTGATTCGGGGGGGACTGGGTAACAGCCTCTGTGATTCGGGGGGGACTGGGTAACAGCCTCTTTGGGCCGGGGGTCTTCGTCCGAGGACCAGGGAGCTTCGTTTATTTGAGTGTAAGAGTCTCTGTGGGCCCGTGGGGACCCGGGCTGCTCGGGACTGCTGCTCAGTCCGGGTTTGATTCATGGGAATTTTCTGCTGAGTCATGAATTAGACTCGTTCCGCAAGTTCTTGATCCTGGTTTAGTGTTGATAAAGTAATACAGGTGTAACTCAACTCCTCTGTACCAAATATGTTACACTCTTCCTCTGTACAATATACTCACCGTCCCTCCCTCCTCTGTGACACGTTACTGTCCCTCCTCTGTTCCAGATATTTATTGTCTTTTCTCTGTAACATTTAGTCTTTGTCCTCCTCTGTACCTTAAACTCTCTGCCCCTCGTCTTTATCTCTAGAATTGGATGGTCTTTGGTCTTTACTCAGATAAGATCTTACTGTAAATTCAAAGAAAATCAGGTTTAAACAAGGCTCTAATAGAACTCAGCCTGGTCTTTGCTGGTCTAAACCAAGACTAAGCCCTCCTGCGGTCTTCCTCAGTTCTCATAGTAACCGACCGTCTTTGGATCAGAGCGGAGATGCTTCCTTGCTTCCTTGTCTCCTTGCCTCGTTTCCTCCTTGCCTCCTCGGTGTTTCATTATGAAGGATATTTCCAACCACATCCTCCTTCCTTTGTCATTGTTTAACTTAGTACAAATACAGATGTTGTTTAGACCTGGTTTAAAACTGGTTTAGACCTGGGTTAGACCTGCTTTAGACCTGCTTTAGACCTGCTTTAGACCTGGTTTAGCCCTTGTATAGTCCTCGTTTAATACTGGTTCAGTCCTGTTTCAGTCCTGATTTAGTCCCTATTTATTCCTGGTTCAGTCCTGATTTAGTCCTTGTTTAGTCCTAGTTTAGTCCTGGTTTAGTCCTGGATCAGTCCTGGATCAGTCCTGGTTCAGTCCTGGTTTAGACCTGGGTTAGACTTGGTTTAGTCCTGGTTTAGTACTGGTTTAGTCCTGTTTTTGACCTTCTTTAGACCTGCTTTAGACCTGGTTTAGACCTGATTTAGTCCTGGTTTAGTCCCGGTTTAGCCCTGATTTAGTCCGGGTTCAGTCCTGGTTCGTTTCTGGTTTAGACCTTGTTTAGTCCTGGTTCAGTCCTGATTTAGTCCCTGTTTAGTCCCTGTTTAGTCCTGGTTCAGTCCCTGTTTAGTCCTGGTTCAGTCCTGATTTAGACCTGGTTTAGTGCTTGTGTAGTCCTGGTTTAGTTCTAGTTCAGTCCTGGTTTAATCCTGGTTTAGACTTGTTTAGAGTTTAGACCCTGGTTTAGACCTGGTTTGGTTTAGACCTGGTTTAGACCTGGTTTAGACCTTTTCCCTCATAGTCAGAATGTCTGTTTTTCTTAGTATTTTTGAGCTGTTTAGAGTCACACTGAGCAGAGCAGTGACATATCTGCAGAAACAACCAAATGACGGACCCCCAGATGAAAAAGTTACACAATACATCTTTAAACCTGTGCGTTTAAACAGTTGTTAAAACAGTTGTTGTTTGTTTTTCAGTGTGTAACTTCATGAGCCACGAGAAGTGTCTGAAAACTCTGAGGTGTGTGTGCTCCGCTCTCACGCCCACCACCATCTCTGTAAGTACCAGCACAGAACGACCTCTTTACTCTCACACTACATGTGTTTAAAGTAAAAGTACAGACACTGCATCAAAAAAGTACTCAAGTAAAAGTAAAAGTATCACAGTATTAGAGTACTGTTTAAAAATGTACTTCAAGAGTAAAAAGAAAAAGTGTTTCATGCAGATTTTTAGATGTAGTAAAATTTCAAATTTTGTGATTTTGTTGTTTGGTTTTGACCTAGTTTAGACCTGGGTTACACCTGGGTTACACCTGGGTTAAAAATGCTTTAGACCTGGTTTAGAACAGATTTAGACCTGGGTTAGACCTAGTTTAGACCTGGTTTAGACCTGGTTTAGACCTGGCTTTAGACCTAGTTTAGACCTGGTTTAGACCTGGCTTTAACCTGGTTTAGACCTGGTTTAGTCCTGGTTTAGTCCTGGTTTAGTCCTTCTCTCATTTAGTTTATTTAATTTTCAGATCTAATAAAACTGTGATTTTGTGGTTTTATTTTTCTTTGTATATTTTTGTTTTCTCAAACTACAACCATGTTAAAATAAACCCTCGTCCTTTTCAGCAGATCTCTATATTAACTATAATAAAAACACTTTTACTTTTCAGTCCTGTTCAAAAATGTAGTGGAAGTACAGACACCTGCTCTCAAATGTAGTCAAGTAAAAGTAAAAAGTATCCACTCCAAAATGCACTTAAATAAAGTACAGATACCTATATTTTTTTACTTCAGTACAGTACTTGTACAGTACTTTGTTACGTTCCACTATTGTTTAAATTTGTGTTAAATCTCATAATAATTTATACAGAATAATATATAACTGTGTCAAGACTCTTGGGGATTTTATGTTTTTTATATTGTATGTTTATATTTTATTTAATTTTTTAAGTTTGTTTATTTGTTTATTTATTCATTTTTTAAATTGTATTTATTTTTTAAGTATTATTTTTTTTATATTTTATGTTTATGTTTTATTTTTTTTTTATTTTATGTTTTTTATTTTTTATGTTTGTATTTTATTTTATTTTTTAAGTTTGTTTATTTGTTTATTTTTTGTTTATTTATTTTTTTATTGTATTTATTTTTTAATTATTATTTTTTTATATTTGATGTTTTTTATGTTTTATGTTTTTTTTATTTTATGTTTTTTATATTTTATGTTTGTATTTTATTTTATTTTTTAAGTTTGTTTATTTTTTGTTTATTTATTCTTTTTTTTATTGTATTTATTTTTTTAAGTATTTATTTTTTTTTTATATTTGATGTTTTTTATGTTTTATGTTTTGTTTTATTTTATGTTTTTTTTTGGAACAACAGAAAGAGCTGAGGTGGTCTCGGAGTGGGACTGACCTCAGCTTCTGTTCATCTCGTCCCTGAGCAGCAGCGGCTTTATCGATCCTTCAGTGGTTCATAATTAAACTAATAATACAATAAAATCAATAACAGTTTATCGCAGCGATTCAATTATATTTTAGACGTTTTGATTTACTCGCGCTTTTACGAGCACGAGAACGAACGAGTGTGGGAGTAGGAGTAGTAGTAGTAGCAGCAGCAGCAGCAGTATCAGTAGTAGTAGTAGTAAAAGGAGGTATAGGAGTAGTAGTAGTAGTAGTAGTAGTAGTAGTAGTAGGTAGTAGGAGTAGTAGTAGTAGTAGTAGTAGTAGTAATAGGAGTTCTTGTAGTAGTAGTAGTAGTAGTAATAGGAGTTCTTGTAGTAGTAGTAGTAGTAGTAGTAGTGGTAGTAGGAGTTAGTAGGAGTTGTAGTAGTGTAGTAGGAGTAGTAGTAGTAGTAGTATCAGCAGTGGAAGTAGTAGTAGTAGTAGGAGTTGTTGTAGGAATTGTAGTTGTAGTAGTAGTAGTAGTAGTAGTAGGAGTAGAAGTAGTAGTACTAGTAGTAGTAGCAGCAGCAGCAGCAGTATTAGTAGTAGTAATAGGAGTTGTAGTAGTAGTAGTAGTAGTAGTAGTAGTAGTAGTAGTAGTAGTAGTAGTAGTAGTAGTAGTAGTAGTAGTAGTAGTAGTAGTAGTAGTAGTAGTAGGAGTTGTTGTAGGAATTGTAGTTGTAGTAGGGGTTAGTAGTAGTAGTAGTAGTAGTAGTAGTAGTAGTAGTAGTAGTAGTAGTAGTAGTAGTAGTAGTAGTAGTAGCAGCAGCAGCAGCAGCAGCAGCAGCAGTAGTAGTAGGAGTTATAGGAGTTGTAGTAGTAGTAGTAGTAGTAGTAGTAGCAGCAGCAGCAGTAGTAGTAGTAATAGGAGTTATAGGAGTTGTAGTAGTAGTAGTAGCAGTAGCAGTAGTAGCAGCATTGGAAGTAGTAGTAGTAGTAGGAGTTGTAGTAGGAATTGTAGTTGGAATTGTAGTTGTAATAGTAGGAGTAGAAGTAGTAGTAGTAGTAGTAGTTGTAGTGGGAGTTGTAGGAGTTGTAGTAGTGTAGAAGGAATGGTAGTAGTAGAAGGAGTAGTAGTAGTAGTAGTAATAGTAGTAGTATTTGTTGTGGTAGTAGTTGTTGTGGTTAGAAGTAGTTATAAATTCTATAATCCTACATAATCCCCTTTAAGAATAAACAGTGTTTACTCTGTAGATTTACTGGTTTGGCCGTGGAGCAGGAGAGAAACACAAATACCTATTGATACTTTGCAGTGACATCATGCTGGGGGTGTTGTACATGCACGCCTATGATGGAATGTTCAGCGGTTACCATGGTGACGCAATGCACACATTAGCAAACACCCAAAAAAGTTTTAAGATCATCTGAAAACTATAATATCAAGTTTTATTGTCAAATTTCAACATGAACATGAAAATTTAAATTATGTTCTCACTCACAATCTTCTAATTAAATAATAATAAAATAAAAGGAAAAGTCCGAAGTTCTTCTTTAGGGAGAGGCAGATTTCCAGCTTCAATCTCATGCAGTTTTATAAAATTAAATCTAATACGTCATACTATATAGTCATACTGTAACATATTTATTAATAATGAATTATACACAAGTAAATACGTGTATTATAAGATAATTACAGAATAATTAAACAATATAAAAATAATTAGTATAAAACAGAAAAGACAAAAATACTCAATAAGTTCAGTTTGTCTGTGCTCACACTTTTATAATCATCACATCAAAACTGGGACTAATCCAGGACTAGAACAGGACCAAACGAAGTCTACATTAGGACTCAAATTGGGCCCAAACCAGGACCAGACTGATATGGGCCCAGTTTGCTTTAGTCCTGGTTTAGTCCTGGTTTAGCCCTGATTTAGTCCTGTTTAGCCCTGGTTTAGTCCTGTTTTAGTCCTGATTTAGTCCTAGTCCTGTTGTAGTCCTGGTTTAGTCCTGGTTTAGTCCTGATTTAGTCCTGATTTAGTCCTGATTTAGTCCTGGTTTAGTCCTGGTTTAGTCCTGATTTAGTCCTGGTTTTAGTCCTGGTTTAGTCCTGATTTAGTCCTGTTGTTTAGTCCTGGTTTAGTCCTGATTTAGTCCTGTTGTAGTCCTGGTTTAGTCCTGATTTAGTCCTGATTTAGTCCTGTTGTAGTCCTGGTTTAGTCCTGATTTAGTCCTGTTGTAGTCCTGGTTTAGTCCTGATTTAGTCCTGTTGTAGTCCTGGTTTAGTCCTGATTTAGTCCTGTTGTAGTCCTGATTTAGTCCTGCTTTAATCCTGGTTTAGTCCTGCTTTAGTTCTAGTTTAGTCCTGCTTTAATCCTGGTTTAGTCCTGGTTTAGTCCTGGTTTAATCCTTGTTTAGTTCTGATTTAGTCCTGCAGTTTTATAAAATTAAACCTAATATGTATCTTTTAAAGTGCATCATACTATAAAATATGTATTAATAATCAATTATACACAAGTAAATACATGTATTATAAGGTAATTACAAAATAATGAAACAATATAAAAATAATTATAATCACCGCATCAAAACCGGGACCAAACCAGGACCAAACTGGAACAAAGTGTGAACGCAGCATGAGTTCTATTTGTGTTTGTTTTCATTCATAACAGTAAATCTAGACTGAAAGTGAGTCTGTGTTGTTGTGACTGATCCTGGTTCTGACCCGGTTGTTCTCCAGGTGCCCGTGGCTCACTGTCTGCTCCCCGCACACAAGAAGAGGTTCTGCTGCGTGTGTCGTAAACCTACAGGGGGCAGCACTGATCTGCGCTGTGAGGGTGAGAGCGGGTCTTACACTGCACTTTTTACACAAGCACATGTCTCGCTGAAAGGGTCTGGTTTAGTCCTGGTTTAGTCCTGGGTTAGTCCTGGTTTAATCTTGGTTTAGCCCTGATTTAGTCCTGGTTTAGTCTTGGTTTAGTCCTGGTGTAGTCCTGGTTTAGTCCTGCTTTAGGCTGACTTTAGTCCTGCTTTAGTCCTGCTTTAGTCCTGGTTTAGTCCTGCTTTAGTCTGGTTTAGTTCTGCTTTAGTCCTGCTTTAGTCCCTGGTTTAGTTTAGTCCTGGTTTAATCCTGGTTTAGTCTTGCTTTAGGCCTCATTTAGGCCTGGTTTAGTCCTGCTTTAGTCCTGATTTAGTCCTGGTTTAGTCCTGGTTTAGTCCTGATTTAGTCCTGGTTTAGTCCTGTTTTAGTCCTTTAGTCCTTTAGTCCCTGGTTTGCTTTAGTCCTAGTCCTGTTTAGTCCTGCTTTAGTCCTGCTTTAGTCCCTTTAGCTTTAGTCCTGCTTTAGTCTTTAGTCCTGGTTTAGTCCTGCTTTAGTCCCTGGTTTAGTCCTGGTTTAGTCCTGGTTTAGTCCTGGTTTAGTCCTGGTTTAGTCCTGGTTTAGTCCTAGTCCTGTTTAGTCCTAGTCCTTTTAGTCCTGTTCTAGTCCTGGTTTAGTCCTGTTTAGTCCTGTTTAGTCCTGCTTTAGTCCTGGTTTAGTCCTAGTTTAGTCCTGGTTTAGTCCTGTTTTAGTCCTGTAGTCCTAGTCCTGTTTAGTCCTGGTTTAGTCCTGGTTTAGTCCTGTTTTAGTCCTGGTTTAGTCCTGGCTTTCAGTCCTGCTTTAGTCCTGCTTTAGTCCTGGTTTAGTCCTGGTTTAGTCCTGCTTTAGTCCTGTTCTAGTCCTGGTTTAGTCCTGGTTTAGTCCTGTTCTAGTCCTGGTTTAGTCCTGGTTTAGTCCTGGTTTAGTCCTGTTCTAGTCCTGGTTTAGTCCTGGTTTAGTCCTGGTGTGTTATAGTGTTTTGTGTGTTTGTGTTTCAGTGTGTGAGCTCCACGTTCACTCAGACTGTGCTGTTTTCGTCTCTGCCGACTGCCGCTGCTCCCACCTGGACTCTCCGCTCCACAGCCCCGTAAGACCCCGCACCCCCCACACCTGAGCACCTGCCCCTGAGCACCTGCCCCTGAGCACCTGCCCCTGAGCACCTGCCCCTGAGCCCCGCACCTGTCAAATATAGAAGTCAAAGATTTTTAAAGCTCCGATATGACACAAAGTTGACTCTTGTGAGCTTTAAGTCGTGTTATAATGTTGTTACATCATCAAAACCAAAAATACCCGGGGTTGTGTTTTGTTTTTTTCTCACGTGTTTGAGTCTGTCCACATCTCCAAACCTCAAAATGCTCTGTTCCACCCTGTGATGTCATGCAGTTGCAGTTTTGAAGTTTACAGCTCCTTTTACCTTTCGTTCAGTAGAGATCGGCAATTCCGGGTAGAGGCCTGCGCGGGACAGAATTTTCAGTCCCGCTCCCACCCACAAAGAATTGTAATTTTCATTCCCGCTCCCGCCCGCAGCTGCAATATTTTGTCCCGCTTCCGCTCGCAAATCCCGCAAGATGAGGACGTTCGCTTTCTTAAATTCTATCAAACACAGGGAAGTGGAAAGGAACTGTCTAAAACACGGGTCTCCAATCTTCTTCCTTCTGTGAGCCACCTTCACAAAACAAACATGCCAGAGAGCTTCCCATTTCAGCAGCCGCAAGAAATTGAGACGATTATAAAAAAGAGGGCGAACCTTTTGGGTGCCTATAAAACATAAAACATAAAACATTGTTTGTTAGTCCACAACGTTGGGCTTCAAAATGGCACATTTACAGTGGTAATATTTATGTAATTAACCACATTTTTGTTTTTCAGCAGAATGGTATAATTCAGAAATCCTTTGGTGAGCTACTTGGAAGGGGGTGGAGAGCTCCCAAACTACAGGTTGGAGATTCCTGGTCTAAAATGTGTGTTTATTAAAGGCAAATAAAATATCCAGCACAAATGATGTATGACAGGCAAACATTAATCATTTGTATATTTTACCTTACACCCATATTTAGTTTGCGGTACTGCAGTTTATCATATCACCCGCCCGCTCCCGCACTGTGCAGTCCTGCTCCCGACCGCAATGAGCTTTTAACTCTTTCCCCCATGAAGACGACATATGACGACCCCCCCTTGTTTCCTTAATGACGTCTTTCGACACCTCCGCTGTGTCAGTAAAGACGTGATTTGACGACCATTAGAAACAACTCGGTTTTTCACATTTAAACAGAGACTGTGATAGGTCGGGGCCACTACAACCAGTACTAGACTGACCAATAGGATTCAAGGATATGTTTTTGCAGTTTTTTTCCAAAGTTAATCGAAGTAGTGACGATTGTAGCTTCCGGAAAAAACACAACACGAAACACATGCAATGGTAAGATCGCGCTGCGGCGCATAGTTTTAGAAATAATGATGAGCGGACGTATTATTATGGATAAGTTTAGAGAAAGTGACTTTTATAGATTTCAAAGTGATGATGAAGTTGATTATAAAGTGGAAAACAGCGACAGCGACGGACTTTCAGAGAGTGAAACTTACGAAGATGAGAATGCTGCTGATGCGTCTGTGTGGAGTCCTGCAATGTCCCAACAAACTATCCGGGCTTTATACTCGATTATGAACCAAAATTGCCCTGAAATCTGGATGTTGCTCAGGCGAGTCCTTTAAAATATTTCAGTGTTTTTTTCCAAGATTAGATGTATAACAGAATCGCTACAGAAACAAACTCTTATGCGAAGCTCTGCACACGAGAAATAACCAAGATGACAAATACTGGACACCCACTGACGGGGAAGAGTTTTATTATTATATTATTATATTATCATAAGCTAAATGAGTTGAATAAATTAAATAAGTTGAATAAGCTAAATGGAAAAAACGAATTAGGTGCACACAGGTGAACAACAGGTAAAAACAGGTGTACACTTGGTTATACTGTATCTGGTGATAAGAAATCTGTTTAAATACTTTGACAAAGTATAGTTTGAATTTTTTTATGAATCTAGTACTCAGAACATGCAGATATCAAATGCTGAATGTAGTTTTTTTGTTTTCAATTTTGCACCTGACCAGGTAAACTCTCATTTTCAGTGAGCTGTTATAAACCTGTAAATGAGTTGAATCACATTTAAACATCCATAAATGAAGAGTTCAGAGTCTGAGGTTTCCAGAGATACAAATATGTCTGTGTTACAATTAAGTTCATGAGTGTAAAAATCATTTATAATCACTCGTGGAAGTCTGTTTTCTTTTATGTTATTATGCTCCAAGGGCAGCTCTAGTCATATATATATATAATATATATATATATATATATATATATATATATATATATATATATATATATATATATATATATATATATATTATATATATATGGGTTGTTCCTAGTCGGCGTCCAGGGGGAAAGAGTTAAAATGTGTCCCGCGCCGCACTGTTTTGCACTGGGTCCTTGGGAGTGCACGGCTCTAATTCCAGGGCTGAAATGATCTGATATGAAGGTGTAAGGAGTTTAAAAACACATTGGAGCACTTCCTGTATTACCACATGACATCACAAGGTGGAACAGAGTGTTTTCAGTTTGAGAGAAGGACTCAGCCTAAATATGCAGTTTGTGTGTTAAACATGTGAATGAAATGTGACTTTTAACTCATCTTAAAGCTCACAAGAGTCAAATTAGTGTAATATAGGATCTTTAAATACAATTATAAATCTTGTTGTCATTAGTTGACACTTTGAGCATCTTTCAAACTTTTCATATTGTTATTTTTTTGGAAAGTCTGTGAGAAAAATGAACGTGAACTTGACCCAGGATGAACCAGGATGAGGGTGGTCACTGCTGTAGTCACTCCACTTTTTCGTGTTTTGACGTGGCTCTGTTTCTTTGTGCGTAAGGATACCTGGCCTCACCACTGGCGGGAGGGCTGCGCGTCGTCCTCGTGTCGCTGTGAGGTGTGTCGGCGCTCGTGTGGATCCTCGGACGTGCTCACGGGGCTCCGCTGCGAGTGGTGCGGCATCACGGTGAGATTTCAGTTTCAGTAGTTAAATGAGGGAACTACATAGACCATGATCCTTTGCTCCATTTCAGTGTAGATTACATGAAGAAATAACTGTTATAAGAACTTTTAAATCTTAGTTCTTTGGATTATGACAGAACCAAAGTATCGTCAAGGCATTTTAAATGGAAAAGTAGCATGTTCACGATTTGGTTAGACTCCACAAAATATTGCAATAAATATCGTTCTGTGGAAGTATCGTATCGAGAGATTTGGATATCGTTGCGTCACTGTTTTACACTATGATTAATTTTGTTATGAGAATGTTTACTTTTTTAAACTGAAATTGTTATAAAATAAAACGGATAATTTGGTGTTATCCTGTAGCTGGTTTAGTCCTGGTTTAGTCCTGTTTTAGTCCTGGTTCAGTCCTGGTTTATTGCTGGTTTAGTCCTGCTTTAGTCTTGGTTTAATCCTGGTTTAGTCCTGCTTTAGTCTTGGTTTAATCCTGGTTTAGTCCTGCTTTAGTCTTGGTTTAATCCTGGTTTAGTCCTGGTTTAATCCTGGTTTAGTCCTGGTTTAGGCCTGGTTTAGTCCTGGTTTGTTGCTGGTTTAGTCCTGATTTAGTCTTGGTTTAATCCTGGTTTAGTCCTGGTTTAGGCCTGGTTTAGTCCTGGTTTAGTCCTGGTTTAGTCCTGGTTTAGTCCTGCTTTAGTCTTGGTTTAGTCTTGGTTTAGCCCTGGTTTAGCTCTGGTTTAGTCCTGCTTTAGTCCTGATTTAGTCCTGGAATTTGTTACAAAACCAAAACAGCTATTTGATGTTTTCCTGTAACTAAAGGGCCCGACTTTTCTGACAGTGTTTACTAATGTGCGTTTTGTGTCACCATGGTAACTCCTAAACATTAGATAAATAGAGATACATGTAGAACACCCCCAGTGTGATGTTACAGTAAAGTATCACTTGCAAAGAAATTGTACACACGAAAAATATTCAGGGTTCCCACGGTCATGGAAATCTTGGAAATTGAAAATGTCATTTTACAGGCTTTGAAAAGCTCTTTTACGCAACTCCAGCGTTCTGTTAAGTTCTCATGAGGCTATTATGATTATTTCTGAACGTCTGTGCTCTTTGTTTAAAAGAGACGACAATAAATGCACTGACAGGATTTTGAATGTTAAAAAACTATAATCCCAAACCATAAGGTGAGTGGAAAGAGTTAACATTCCCTAAAAGTCTGCTCAATTCTACACATGTAGGTGCCGTAAAGTCATGGGAAATTCACTTTAGGTCATGAAAGTCATGGGAAATTTTTACAATTTTGTCAGTGAAATCTAGTGGGAACCCTGGATATTGACCTCCAATTGTTCCATTATTATTTCAGTTTGAGTCGATGGAGTCAGAAGTGCTTCCATGTTCACTTCCTGTTTGGATCACAGCAGCTCCGTCCGTTTGTACAGTCTGTGGTTGATATTGTGATGATTGTGACAGGTCTGATTTCAAAACCACTGGTACACTGACACTGCCTGTGTTTGCGTCTGTCTCTGTGTGTTTGTGCGTTTGTGTTTGTGTGTGTTTGTTGTGTCTCGGGGCTCAGAGCCATGGCACCTGCTTCGTGAGCGTTCCTCCAGACTGTAACTTCGGTCGACTCCGGACCATGATCCTGGACCCGCGCTGTGTCCGACTGGAGTCCAGGAACTTCAGCAAAATGCACCTGTACAGAGTCCAGGAGAGCAGCGTCCCAGAGCAGGGTGAGGACCGGGGCAGACCTAGGTTAGACCTGGGGAAGACCTGGGATAGACCTGGGATAGACCTGGGTTAGACCTGGGTTAGACCTGGGATAGACCTGGGTTAGACCTGGGAGAGATTTGGGATAGACCTGGGGGAATTCAGGTTCAGGTTTAGTTGTAATTTTTATACAAACTTCCAAATGAAAAAGGTATTAGTTAACTGTATTTAACGTATCACAAAAAACACTTAAAAAATATTTAAGGACGACTAAACCGGGTCTTTGATTGGACAAACTGTTTTTCTTATTTTCACACATTTTCTTTCTCATTTTTCAGACACCTCAGATGAAGTGGACGTCTCTTTGGCCGTGATAAAAGACGGTTCCACTGCCGCTGCCGAGTCCGGTACGTCGCTTCTTTTTATTGTGATCTTTGACCCCTCGAGGCCTCCGTACGTCCTAAACATGTCCGTCCCGTGTTTGTGCCGCAGGGAGACAGTTCTTAAAAGTGTTCGACGGAGACGACGCCGTGAAACGAGGAAGCTCCAGAACCGTGTCCGTCTCCAGGGCGACAAACAACGACGAAGTGGTGGTAAGAAAAACGATTTAGTAGACAGAGACGTGCACATCCGATAAAAGCTGCGACTGCGTGCTGCGTCCAAAGACAAAAGAAGCACCAAAAAAATTTATTGTACAACACTGAACCATTAAAATATTTGTAAAGTAATTGTGTTTTAATTCCATCCCCATAATCCTCCCACTGTCCCAGAACAGTTTGAGTTAATAGGCCTGTCACAATAACAAAATCTGAAGCACTATTTATTACTACAGAGATATACAATAATACTGAAACTATTTTATGCCACAATAATGCAAGATTATCCACACGTTTTCTCATTAAAGGGCCCATCTCATGCAAAATCTGCTTTTCAGAGCTTTCTACCTTCTAAGAGTGATGTGTGGGCCTTGTATATGTTGCCGAAGTGCTTTTTAGATTGATTTGGCGTTTTTTTACAAACCGTGTGACAACGAACTACAGCTGCTACAACGATGACGCGGCAGCTACACCTATGACGCGTTTGACGTAGAAGAAAGCGCTGCACCTGCCCCTCTCCCCCGCTCCACTGCCTCCACCCCGCATCCGCTGACAGTTCCCACATGAATACCTGAACCAGGGGTGTCAAACATACGGCCCGGGGACCGGATCCGGCCCTCCAAGACCTTTAATCTGGCCCTCGGCATTTTCTATTAAAATATTTAAATTATATTTAAAAAAATTGACTATTGTACATACAAGTTAATGTTAAAACATTGTGTTGAAATTGCATTTTGCTTGAAGTTTCAGGTTGTTCATAATATTATAATATTTTGTAAAAGAAACAGTTCATCAATTAAAAAAGATTTCTGTAATAGATTTGTGTTTCTCTGCACAAATATTTGAACTTATTGTTATTTTTGAGGTTTATATGCCATGAGTTTTCTGATCCGGCCCCTTTGGGGTCAAAGTAAGTTGGACACGGCCCCTGAACCAAAATAAGTTTGACACCCCTGATCTAAACAAAAGCGTCAGCATAAGCTCATTGTTCTACACTGCAGTGAACATGATATAATAAGTTTATCTACTAGTGTTTATTAATACTTTACCAATCAGTAATGTTCAGCTGATGTGGACGCGGTGCTTGAGCTTCGTGCTCCTCAAAGTCCTCGTCCGATTCCGGGTCCAACACATGCGGCTGAACGCGCTGTATCTCCATGATGCGCACGTCTGTCTCCCCCTCCCTCCCTGAGATGGCGGAGGAAGGGCGGCTCACTCAGAGCCTACGTCACGTTTGGAGGGCGGAGCCTGTGCTTTCTCAGGACGGGCGGGGGGAGGAGCAATAGTCGGACTTTCATAGTTCCTGGTCTGTGACTGTCTCCAAGAAATCAGTAAGATTTCATAACTATTGTGTAATGGATGTTCCAAATCCCAAATTGTTTTTGTTTATGTGCAGAAGATACAATGTGAAAAGAGTTATTTTGCATGAGATGGTCTGAGTTGCAACAGATAAATAACAGAATGAACCAATAAGTAGCCATAGAAGTCACTTATTTAACCCTGTAAAGCTCAAATTATGTTCTATTAAAACAAAAATACCCCAGATCTCCTCACATTTACAAAGAAATTCTACCCACGGTAAATAATATGAAAACTTGAAAAATCTATATTTAAAATATTGAACGATAAGTCGATTCAGTAACCATGGAGACAGGCCTATGAGCGAACAGTACATGTATTTGTCTCTCACAGCACCACACATGCAGCTGTAACAGGCTTGGACTTAAGACTTAGACTTTATTGATCCACAAGGGAAATGACGTGGACACAGGAGCTCACACATCACATTATATTACAATAACACAGAATAGAAAAATATTTAAAAAAGGTAAAAAAATAATAATAAAATTAAAAATTAACAATAAAAAAATCAAGTTTCAATAAGACATAAATTATATAAATGTATGTACAGTAAGTAAAAAAATAAATATTGTAATATAAATACAGTATCAGTAATATCACTTGTGTCCTGTAGGAGGCAGCACTGAGAGCGTATTATCTCCCTGACGACCCTCTGGACTTCGAGCTGCAGGAGGTTAATCTCCATGGCAACGGGCATCAGGGTCTCCATGCCGACGGCGGAGGAGAGGACGCGGCACAGAACGATCCGACCCACGACGAGGAAGACGTCCTGAACCAAAACAGAAACGGACTGAACCAGAACCAGGACCAGCCCGAGGACCGAGGCGAGACCTGGGTGCTGAGGGCCAAACCCAAGTACTCGGAAGTCATCAAGGTCTACCAGGACTGGGAGAGGTCAGGACTCACTCTCCCACAATGCAACAGTCAGGATTCAGTCTCCCACAATGCACCAGTCACAGGTGTACAGATGCCATGAACCATAGATATGAACGGTCGATCTCGCATTGACGACCGCTGGGTGACGCTGCTTTAAACGAACAAACATCCATCAGGGACAAGGCCATACCAGTGTTTTCCCAGTCCTGGTTTAGACCTGGTTCAGTTCTGATTCAAGCTTTGGTTTAGTCCGGGTTTAGGCCTGATTTATTCTGCATTTTGTCTTGGTTTAGTCCTGGTTTAGTTCTGGTTTAGTCTTGGTTTAGTCCCGGTTTAGACTTGGTTTAGTCCTCCTAGTTCAGTCCTGGGTACAGTCCAGGTTTAGTCCTGGTTTAGACCTGGTTTAGTCTTGGTTTAGTCCTGGTTCAGTTCTAGTTTAGTCCTGGTTTAGACCTGGTTTAGTCTTGGTTTAGTTCTGGTTCAGTCCTGGTTTAGTCCTGATTTAGACCTGGTTTAATCCTGTTTCAGTCCCGGTTTCAGTCCTAGGTTCAGTCCTGCTTTCAGTCCTGGTTTAGTCCTGGTTTAGACCTGTTTTAGTCCTGTTTTAGTCCTAGTTTAGACCTGGTTTAGACCTTGTTTAGACCTGGTTTAGTCTTGGTTTAGTCCTGGTTTAGTCTTGGTTTAGTATTGGTTTAGACTTGGTGTTTAGTCCTCCTGGTTCAGTCCTGGTTGAGACATGGTTTAGTCCGGGTTTAGTTCTGGTTTTGTCCTGGTTTAGTCCTGATTTAGACCTGGTTTAGTCCTGGTTCTGTCCTGGTTTAGCCCTGGTTGACTCCTGGGTCAGTCCTGGTTTAGTCCTGGTTTAGTCCTGTTTTAGACCTGGTTTAGTCCTGGATTAGACTTGGATTAGACCTGTTTTTTACCTGTTTTAGTCCTGTTTTAGTCCTGGTTCTGTCCTGGGTTCTGGCCTGGTTTAGTCCTGGATTAGACCTGGTTCAGCTCTGGTTTAGTCCTGGTTTAGACCTGGTTTTTACCTGTTTTAGTTCTGGTTTAGACCTGGTGTTTAGTCCTCCTGGTTTAGTCCTGGTTTAGTTCTGGTTTTGTCCTGGTTTAGACCTGGTTTAGTTTAGTGTCCTGGTTTACTTTAGTCCTGGTTAGTCTGGTTTAGTCCTGGTTTACTCCTGGTCCAGTCCTGGTCCTGTATAGTCCTGGTAGTCTGGTTTAGTCCTGGTTCAGTCCTGGTTTAGTCCTGGTTTACCTACCTACCTTTCCTACTTTACTCAAAATGGACTCTTGTGAGCTTTAAACCATTTTATACCTCCTCAAAAAACAGACCTGGAGTTGTCTTTCGTTTCATTCACACATGTTTGAGTATTTGAGTAAATTACATACACCTTTTTATTATTATTAGTCTTCAAAGTTCAAAATGCTCTGTTCCATGGAGCGTTTCAAACTTCTCTTTTTACCGGCTAACGCTGTGATGTGTTTTTCAGGTCGGACTCGTCTTTTGTCCAAGTGTCGGTCTCTGAGAACATCACAGCAGCCAGAGTCCTGAACGAGGTCCTGGGACGACTGGGACGACAGGTCAGACCTCACACAGCTCACAGTCTGAACTCTGCTCACTTTGTCACGCCTCCGGACAGATCCAGACAGATGTTGTACAATCAGATCTTTTATTTGTTTATTTTCTTTCTTTATTTATTTAAAGGTTGTATGGAGGATTTTTTTTTTTAGTTTCAAATTGTCAAGGAAAGTTTAAAATACCATTACAAAGACGCAGCAGCCTTGTAATTAAGATGACCAAAAAAAAAAAAAAAGAAAGAATGAAAATCTATCAACTGTGGACGTGTTGAGGCCAGATAAACATCAGCCAATAGATAACGAGGCTGCCTCATTTTCTATTGGCTGTTAGGTCGTCAATCAAACTCCCTACGTTTCTAGTGTAACTGACTCGCCGGCGCGCAGGGATTACGTAGTTTATGCAGCAGTTCTTAGAGGTTTTTTTAAACTGTAGGTTCTTTACATTTTGCACAAAATTTGTTGAGATGGCGGGCAAGAATCCACGCCCATTTCGCAGCAAAAGAAAGTCCGTTTCTGATTTCGCTGAAAGAAAAAGAGAAGGGGAAAAGGAGCAAAGCCAAACGGAGGTGATTCTTGGAGATTCCTTCCAGCGATGGTGCGACTGAAGCAGACGAAGGGTCTAAAATCTGACGCGTCGGTCGCTAAATTATTTCTAGACTGGAAAATTCAACGGTAATTCTGAACGCACACTGGCTGTAAACAAGCGTGATTTCTAGAGTAAGGAGGCGGGAGGAGGTGTTTCTACTGAGGAAGGTGGTGTCACGCATGCACAACATTTGAAAAAGGACCGTCGCTGTATTTCACTTCCCTTAAAAAATCCTCTATACAACCTTTAAAACAAGGACAATGCACAGAAAACATTAGTCTCAGAAACAACAAACCTGTATGTATGAATCTGCAGCAATATGAACTGTAAATATGTGAATAGTTTATGGATGTGATGACTGAGACTGAATGGGACGACTTTTACTTACTGATTGACTGGATGAATGATTTCACTAAAATACACTGTATGCCATTATGACATTAACCTGTCCAGGGACTGAAGGTGGAAATGAGCAATTTTGCCACAACCTTGCACAAACATATGATCTCTTTGTGTAGCTGAATGTTTTTATGTGCATTGTCCCTGATAAATAAACAAATAAACTGAACTAAAAAGATGCTTTGGCCCAGATTTAGCTCCAGGAAGCTTTACACCTGCAGTCCTTGGACAGGTAGAAAAAGACCTTAAAGAGACCGTTTACAGAGAGAGAAACATTCTCAGAGTTTTTAATGTGAATCAGAACATGTCTGTCATGTTCATGCCGACCCAAACTCCTACCCAAACTGCGACCCAAACTTGGACCCAAACTGCAACCTAAAATTTGACCCAAACCCAAACTGCGACCAAACTGACCCAAACTGCGACCCAACTCTGACCCAAACCCAAACTGTGACCCAAACTGCGACCCAAACTGCAAACCAAAATTGACCCAAACCCAACTGCGACCAAACTCTGACCCAAACTGCGACCCAGACTCTGACCCAAACCCAAACTGCGACCCAAACTCTGACCCAAACTGCGACCCAAACTGCAACCTAAAATTTGACCCAAACCCAAACTGCGACCCAAACCCAAACTGCGACCCAAACTGACCCAAACTGACCCAAACGACCCAAACTACGACCCAAACTTGGACCCAAACTGCGACCCAAACTACGACCCAAACTGCAACCTAAAATCTGACCCAAACCCAAACTGCGACCCAAACTGCGACCCAAACTCTGACCCAAACCCAAACTGCGACCCAAACTGCGACCCAAACTGCAACCTAAAATCTGACCCAAACCCAAACTGCGACCCAAACTGCGACCCAAACTGCAACCCAAACTCTGACCCAAACCCAAACTGCAACCCAAACTCTGACCCAAACTGCGACCCAAACTGCAACCCAAACTCTGACCCAAACCCAAACTGCAACCCAAACTCTGACCCAAACCCAAACTGCGACCCAAACTCTGACCCAAACTGCGACCCAAACTGCGACCCAAACTGCAACCTGACCCAAACCCAAACTGAACTCTGACCCAAACCCAAACTGCGACCCAAACTGCGACCCAAACTCTGACCCAAACTGCAACCCAAACTCTGACCCAAACCCAAACTGCGACCCAAACTACGACCCAGACTCTGACCCAAACCCAAACTGCGACCCAAACTGCGACCCAAACTGCTGACCCAAACCCAAACTGCGACCCAAACTGCGACCCAAACTGACCCAAACTGCGACCCAAACTCTGACCCAAACCCAAACTGCGACCCAAACTGCGACCCAAACTCTGACCCAAACCCAAACTGCAACCCAAACTCTGACCCAACCCAAACTGCGACCCAAACTGCGACCCAAACTCTGACCCAAACCCAAACTGCGACCCAAACTCTGACCCAAACCCAAACTGCGACCCAAACTGCGACCCAAACTGCGACCCAAACTGACCCCAGACCCCGACCCAGACCCCGACCCAGACTCCGACCCCGACCCAGACCCCGACCCAGACTCCGCTCTCACCTGGAATTTACACCAGGAGCATCAGCAGCATGTAACGTAGGCGGAGCTGCACACACACGTACTTTTAAAAGCTTCAATTTACACCAGAGGCAGAAGAGACTATTCTCACATTTAAACTCAAAACTTTTTACATTGTTTATATATTCACTGTTGATTGGATGAATTGGATGACAACAAGAGAAACTGTGCTTTGCAGCGATAACGAGCCGGATCTGCGGTGCCGCATTCATTAAGCCACTCACCACTTCACTTCAGTCGCTGCTCCACGCACCTTTTCCTTCAGAAGTTCTTCTTGTAAAGTTTCTATCTGATGCCGTAAAGTGTTTTATATTTATCCTCCACGGCTGTAAACTTTCCAAAGTCCATCACGAGTCATTCTCCGAGCTCCTGGATGTGACGCACGGTGTTTACGTGACTGTAGTGGTTTTAGAGAAACTATTTTGAAAGAGCATCGGAAGTTTATTTTGACGCAGCATGCTTATTTCCTGTCTGTCCCTTGCTTAAAAGCTTGGAGACGTTCTGTTGACGCTGCAGAATTAGAACTCCAACCTGATTTGAGCGTAATGACAGCCGTGGGATGCGTGTATGACACTGCTGGTGTAAATTATTCGACAGGTTAAAATGGAAAGTGATAACTGTGCGTGTGCTGCTTGTGTGCTGTGCTGCTGCTTTTATACTTTGGTGTAAACGGGGGGTCAGGGTGAATGCAAATGTACATAAACTGTTCCAGATTGTCTTATTGTTTTGTTTGTTTCAGGGAGACGAGCAGTCCAGCTACAGTCTGCAGGAGGTCTACATGAACCACAAACAAGGTCTGAATCAGGACTAAACCACGACTAACTGGACTAGGTTAGATTAGGTTGCCTTATTCGTACTTGTAGGTAAATTTATTTTGCAGATTTGAGAGGCTGGTCCCACATAAACACATAAAAACACGATTACAAATAAAGTCTTACAGTGACACTTTATTAAATCGATAAATAAATAGATTAGAGTTTATTAAAAAGTACTAAACTAGGACTAAACTGCGCAGTATCATTCTTCAAAACGTGTTATGTTGTTCTAGACTCTATATTTGTCTAACTGTGCTCTGTCCTTTTTCAGTCATGAAGCAAACTCTGGGGCCTAAAGAGAAAGTCCTGGACAAAGTCAGAGAAATCAGAAAGGTAACTACGAAAGTAACTATGGTTCTATGAGTTTTAGCTTCACGCAAACAAACTACAAGGCTTGTCTTGATAATTACTACACTGACTGTTCCCTCGTCGCTTGGTGAGTCAGACCCTTCAACTGTGACGCTATTTTCTGATCTGTAATATCGTTTCCTCGTCACAGACACACCTGGAATTGTGTTTTGTTTCATTCACACATGTTTAACTCATAAACTCAGAAATGTATTTCGATTGAGACTTCCCTGCAATCATTTGGATAATTTCAGCCCTGGAAATTCCCATCTGTGCCAAACAAAAGATAAAAGGTAGCTGTTAACTTCACTGTAAAATCTAATAAGTAGATCTCACTTGAAAAAAATCTAAGAAACCGATTGCTTTGAAAAATCTGACTAAAGTGGACTGTGAATCTAAAGCTGAGCTACAAGTCATTCCTCAGTGTTTCACCTAACTCGGCACAGCAAGTTAAGTTTACCGTATTTTTCAAACTATAAAGCGCACCGGATTATAAGACGCATTAAGCAAAGCAAACAGACGACACTTGAGACTGATACTTTATTCCAGGTGTCCATGATCCATAATTCGCTCAGCTTTGCCTCCCTGTCTTGGTGAATGTGTATTATGAATGTGGGTGGATCATTTAAGTTTTTTTTTTTTATTGCCTACGAGGAGGACTCAAATATACATTGAGTAATAATGTGTTTAATGCAGCTTTGTGCACATTTGTTTACGTTTTACAGAAACAAAACATAAAACCACATGGCTCATTTGCATAAACTATTTCTGAATAAATCGGCTCGCTTCTTGCGCGCTGATGCTTCTGTTGGATTTACTCAGCGAGACTCCTGACTACGGTGGCCGTAACGCTCCGACAATCCATCAAGCGGTGTGGCTTCGTAGATTACTAAAGCCGTACTAAAACATTTTAATAGATTTTTAAGTGCCGTGTACCACATAAAATCAGTTTGAAGTCAGAAAACACAACCAGGATTAATACATAAGGTGCACTGGATTATAAGGCGCATTAAGTGAAACAATTGGACGACACTTGAGACTGATCCCTTAGTCCAGGCATCCACGATCCATCGGCAGATCGTGGCATAATTCGCCCGGCGTTGCCTCTCTGTCTTGGTGAACGTGTATTATGAATCTGAGTTTATAATTTCAGTTTGTTTCATTATTTCCTACGAGAAGGACTCAAATATACATTGAGTAATAATGTGTTTAATGCAGCTTTATGCACATTTGTTTACATTTTACAGAAACAAAACTTAAAACCATGTGGCTCATTTGCATAAACTATAAGCGGTGGAAAAACAGCTCGCTTCTTGTGCACTGATGCTTCTGTTGGACTTACTGTGCGAGGCTCCTGACTACGGTCACCGTAATGCTCTAACAATCCATCAAGCTGTGCGGCTTCGTAGATTACTAAAGCCGTACTAAAACATTTTGACAGATTTTTGAGCGCCGTGTACCACATAAAATCGGTTTGAGGTCAGAAAACACAACCAGGATTAATACATAAGGTGCACCGGATTATAAAATGCATTAAGTGAAACAATTGGACGACACTTGAGACTGATCCCTTAGCCCAGGCGTCCACGATCCATCGGCAGATCGTGGCATAATTCGCCCAGCGTTGCCTCTCTGTCTTGGTGAATGTGTATTATGAATCTGAGTTTCTAATTTCAGTTTGTTTCATTATTTCCTACGAGGACGACTCAAATATACATTGAGTAATAATGTGTTTAATGCAGCTTTGCGCACATTTGTTTACGTTTTACAGAAACAAAACTTAAAACCACGTGGCTCATTTGCATAAACTATAAGCGGTTGAAAAAACTGCTCGCTTCTTGCGCGCTGATGCTTCTGTTGAATTTACTCAGCGAGGCTCCTGACTACGGTCGCCGTAATGCTCTGACAATCCATCAAGCGGTGTGGCTTCGTAGTTTACCGAAGTTGTACTAAAACATTTTGATAGATTTTTGAGCGCCGTGTACCACATAAAATCTGTTCGAGGTCAGTAAGCACAACCAGAATTAATGCATAAAATTCAAGGATTTTAAGTGCGCTCTATAGTCCGAAAAATATGGTAATTTCAGTTTTCATTCAGTCGAGTTGACTGAATGAAAACTGAAAGTCGACCTGAGCCTAATTGACAAATAATGTGCTTTTTTCACCCTGAAAGTAACTGTGACTTTACCACAGTCAATAAGATCCACAAATTTGTAGCTGTGAGTGAAATAACACTACTCCACGTCTGTTTGTGATGAGGAAACTAGGATTCTGTTCAATGTTTACATTTTAAACACGCCCAACTAACACAAGAGTCACATTTCAGAACATGTTTGCACAGATCTAAACTACAGGGTTAACAGTTTTTATGCGTTCATCTGAAAACGTGGAGATACTGTAGGTTTGCAGCTGCGTAGAATGATTGTTTTTGGAGTTTTGTTGAAGGCTTCACCGTCTTTAACTCTACCAACTCCATTTCCCAGGTGTCTTTGCGGCAGATGCACCAGACGCGGTTCTACGTGGCGGAGAACAGGAGGTCAGAGGTGAACGTGGAGCTGCTGATCGGAGGACTGCCCCCCCTGCTGGACACGCAGGACTACAGCCGCGTACTCGAAGAACACCTCGCTGTCAAGAGTAAGGGTTTACTGCTGAAACCAGAACTAAACCAGGACTAAAACTGGACTGCAACAGGTCTAGACCAGGGGTTCAGTCTGTTAGAACCAGAACTAAACCAGGACTAAAATAGGTCTAGGCCTGGGGTTTAGGCTGTTAGAACTAGAGCTAAACCAAGACTAAAGTTGGTCTAGACCAGGTGTTCAGTCTGTAAAAACCAGGACTAAACCAGGACTAAAGTTGGTCTAGACCAGGGGTTCAGTCTGTCATAACCAGAACAAAAACAGGACTCAGTCTGTTAGAACCAGAACTAAACCAGGACTAAAGTTGGTCTAGACCAGGGGTTCAGTCTGTCATAACCAGAACAAAAACAGGACTCAGTCTGTTAGAACCAGAACTAAATCAGGACTAAAGTTGGTCTAAAGCAGGGGTTCATTTTATTAGAACCAGAACTAAATCTGGATTCAGTCTGTTAGAACCGGAACTAAACCGGGACTAAAGTTGGTCTAGACCAGGAGTTCAGTCTGTCAGAACCAGAACTAAACCAGGACTAAACCAGGACTGAAACAGGTTGAAACCAGGTCTAAACAAAGTCTAAAACAGGATTTAACAACACTTAAAACAAGTGCTGTCATGATACTAAAAATTCAAACTTGCTTTCAATACTAAGTAATAGACTCTGATGCCACAATGGTGATAAAAACAGTCTTTCTTCAGACAACAGAATGTGGTTTACAACATTAAATCGTAGTTCTTTCTTTTCTTGTATCTGTGTGATCCCTCACTGGTCTATGGACGTGTACTCGTCTATGTGCTCTTATACTTGCTCTGATACAGCTCAAGATCATTCTAAAACTTCAGGAAAGGTTCATTACTGTCCTGTAAATGTGACTTTTTAGTATTGACACCTGTGAAAAAATGTGTAGTTTCAATATAAGTTTTAGTATTGATCAGTACTAATTAACTAACTCTGTATTTCTGTTTTAGGTAATTTGGTCTCAATAAGTCAAGTCTATGGAGCTCAAGGTGAGATCTGCTCCTGTCTGCTCCTGCCTGCTCCTGTCTGCTCCTGTCTCCTCTGGCTCTGCTCCTGTCTGCTCTGCTCTGTCTGCTCTGCTCCTGTGCTCCTGCTCCTGCTGCTCTGCTCCCTGTCCTGCTCCTGTCTGCTCTGTCTGCTCCTCTGCTCCTGTCTGCTCCTGTCCTGCTCTGCTCTGGCTCTGCTCCTGCCTGCTCCTGCTCCTGCTCCTGCTCCTCTGTCTGCTCTGCCTGCTCTCTGCTCCTGCTCTGCTGCTCCTGCTGCTCTGCTCCTGCTCTGCTCCTGCTCTGCTCCTGCCTGCTCCTGCCTGCTCCTGTCTCCTCTGGCTCTGCTCCTGTCTGCTCCTGCTCTGCTCCTGTCTGCTCCTGTCTCCTCTGGCTCTGCTCCTGTCTGCTCTCCTGTCTGCTCTGTCTGCTCCTCCTGCTCTCTGCTCCCTGCTCTCTCTGTCTGCCTGCTCCTGTCTGCTCCTGTCTGCTCCTGCTCTGCTCCTGCTCTGCTCCTGTCTCTCCTCCTGGCTCTGCTCCTGCTGCCTGCTCCTGTCTGCTCCTGCCTGCTCCTGCCTGCTCCTCCTGCTGCCTGCTCCTGTCCTCTCCTGCTCCTCTGCTCCTGTCTGCTCCTGTCTCCTGTGGTTGATGTATGTTGTGTATGTGTGTATTTCCAGGTTGGCTGTCTCTGCAGATCTCGTGTTTCTCGGAGGCAGAGAGGATTTTCATGTTGGCCAAAGACACGACCGTCTCCAACAAACAGCTCACTTCACTCGTCTGTCCACAAATACAGGTACAAGTACAGGAATATTACTGTAATACTACTACAAATACTGTAATACTACTGCAATACCACTACAAATACAAGAATACTAATGTAATACTACTACACATACTGCAATATTACTGCAATACTACTACAAATACAGAAAGACTACTACAAATACAGGGATAATACTGTAATACTACTAAAAATACAGGGATACTACTGCAATACTACTACAAATACAGGAATACTACTGCAGTACTACTACAAATACAGGAATACTACTGCAATACCACTACAAATATGGAAATACTACAACAATACTGCTTCAAATACAGGAAGATTACTCCAATAGTACTACAAATACAGGAATACTACTGTAATACTTCTACAAATACAGGAATACTACTGTAATACTACTGCAAATACAGGAATACTACTACAAATACAGGAATACTACTACAAATACAGGAATACTATTGCAATACCACTGCAAATACAGGAATACTACTGCAATACTACTATAAATACAGGAAGATTACTCCAATACTATTACAAATACAGAAATACTACTACAAATACTTCGATAGTACTACAAATACAGGGATACTACTGTAATACTACTACAGATGCACGAATACTACTACAATACTGCTTCAAATACAGGAATACTACTGCAATACTGCTGTAATACTACAACAAATACAGGAATACTACAGCAATACTACTTCAAATACAGGAATACTACTGCAGTACCACCCTGCAGTGAAACAGTCTGAAGTGGGAGACTGAAAGTGTGTCCATTAGAGTTTCCTTAAGCTCTATTTTCTGATCTAAACAGTGTAATATTGTCCTTTTAAGTCGTGTAAATCCAATAAAGCGTTTCCATCGCAGTGTGTCGTGCAGTTTCAGATCTGGAGCTGCTCTCGTGAGGTGTGGCAGTGCACGCTGGGTCATATTATCCATATTTCATGTCTCTGAATGGGATCTGGAGCTCGTGTCATGAATTATTGTTAAACGGCAGAAAGGCAATCTTCAAACATTCAAAACCTCAGCATCTCCCCTGAGTCTGAACTGAATTATTGTTTTTGTCAGCGCTTCTACACACACCGGCACAGGTGCGGACTTGAGTCACTTGATAAAACAGACTAAGATTTGGGACTTGGACTTAAATCCTGTGACTTGAGAAGACTTGATGCTTCTCCTAAAAAATATATGTTTTTAGGAAATACTTTTCTCTTTACAGTTGATAAATGCGGCGCTTAAGTTTTATGGGGACAAACTGGAACATGTCACATTTCTCTGTTTGTTACTTTGGTTGGAACTGAAGTACTGTGATGTGGTATCCTCAGAAGTACTACAGTAATATAAAGTACAATGCAGTAAAACAGAGGGAACTACAGAGAACATGATTCTTCCATTTCAGTGCAGACACACGACAAAACAACTGCATTTTTAAATCTGAATTCTCTCCATTCTGACTGTGATGATTTGCACTCAGATCTTGTAAAGACATTTCAAAAGAAAAAATAGCATTTCTACAACTCATATACTCATAAATATAATATATAATATATACTCATATATATAAATAGACCATGATTTTTTAAGTACAATTTAGCTTAAAAGTCTTATAAATTGTTAAAATCTAAGTTATATTTGGTATTTTTGTTTAGACTTGAAATGACGTAAAGCTCAAAGCAGATGACTTGGACTCGACTTGGACTCATGAGCCAATGACTCAAGACTCGACTTGGACTTACCTGTTTTTGACTTGGGACTTCACTTGGACTTGAGCTTCAAGACTTGAGACTTGTAAAACAACGACTTGGTCCCACCTTTGGTTACTGGGCGCCCATATTGTACGATAAGAGTTATTTCTTTATAACTTCATGTATTATTTATATTACATAACATAGTGTCAGTGAATGTGTGTGTAAATATGATTTATTTAAAAAGAGTTTAAAGAAATGTTTGATTTTTCATAATAATGTTTCATAATGTTGGATGTTTGATTGAATTTTAATCCATGTTTTTTTTTCAATACTGCTACAAATACAGAAATACTACTAGAAATACAGGAATACTACTGCAATACTACTACAAATACAGAAATACTACTAGAAATACAGGAATACTACTGCAATACTACTACAAATACAGGAAATACTACTACAAATACAGGAATACTACTGCAATACTACTACAAATACAGAAATACTACTACAAATACAGGAGTACTACTGCAATACTACTACAATACTACTACAAATACAGGAATACTACTGCAATACTACAAATACACTGCAATACTACTACAATACAGGAACTAATACTACTACAAATACAGGAATACTACTGCAATACTACTACAAATACAGGAATACTACTGCAATACTACTATAAATACAGGAATACTACTACAATACTACTACAAATACAGGAATACTACTGTAATACTACTACAATACTACTACAAATACAGGAATACTAGTATACTACTACAAATGCTGCAATACTAATGCAGTACTACTAGAGATACAGAAATACTACTACAAATACAGGAATACTACAGAAATACTACTGCAAACACAGGAATACAACTGCAGTACTACTACTACTACTACTACTTTGATGTGACATAGTAATATTTACGTGTGTGTGCAGGTGGAGAGGCTGTGCCCAGAGGAGCACCCGCTCCTCGTGTTTGTGAATCCTAAAAGTGGAGGACTCAAAGGACGAGAGCTTCTGCACGGATTCAGAAAGATCCTGAACCCTCACCAAGTGTTTGACATCAGCCACGGAGGACCACTGCCGGGGTGAGAGTACTACGAGTACTGCAGACACTACTACCTAAACGTGTACTTTCAGAGGAAGTAGGTGTCAGAGTAAGAGTAACGCTGAAAGTTATAGTAGATGCATCTTAATGAAAGACATTTAAAGGGACAGGCTGGAATTTTGGACATAGGGCCTCATTTCCTCGTGAGTCAGAGTGTTGGAGACGTGTGGAGACACTTTTAAATATTCCATCCAGTCCTTGTATTTGCAGAGGTCACTGATGCTAGACTTACCCACTCCACAAAACACCCAAAGAAAATCTATTATTACTCCAGACTGTCGATGTAAATGTCTGTGCCGATAGCATAATGTTTGAAATAGGGATGGGCATGATTAGTCGATAATCGATTGTTAATTCTCCCGATGATCGATTAAGAAAATTTAGTCGAATGCCCATCCCTAGTTTGAAATTAAACTAACCTTGTATCGCATGAATCGTCGCATGTTAAGGGACTATTTTCTCATATATCAGTCCGCTGCTGCCAAAATTTCTATCAGGAAGTACAACTCACTGCTGCTGCTCAGACATAAATCCTTCAAATGCAAGGTTAGTTTTATTTCTAAAATTATTCTGTCGACACAGACATTTAGATGGACAGTCTGGTGTAATAATAGATTTTCTTCAGGTGTTTTGTGGAGTGGGTAAGACTGTTTTTAGTGGCAGGAGAACTATGGCCATTGACAAAGGACTGAATGGAATATTTAAAAAAGTGTCTCCACACGTCTCCAACACGCTGACTCACGAGGAAATGAGGCACTATGTCCAAAATTTTGTACTATCCCTTTAAGCACTGACATTTCTAAGAATATACTTCAAAAATGTGGAGGAGTACTTCTGGATTACCACATAATGATGTCATAAGGGTAAACCAAGCATTTACAGAAAGAGCATCATGAATGAAACATGCATAAATTAGACCAAATAAAAAAATCTTGACTTTTTGAGCTTTTAACCTTGTTCTAACATTGTTCCCTCATCAAAAACATACCTGGAGTTGTGTTTTTTCACATTTGTCTCATTAATCCAGTTTAAAATTCTTACTGGATTGTGACGTCACAGGTAAAAATCCAGGCTTTTTTCATTCTGAGAGTTTCTGTGACTAATTGTTTAACCACAACAGACTAAATTGTTTCCCAAACAAAAGCCTGACTCTGTAGCGTGATGCATAATAATAATAATAATAAAGACTTTATTCATTATTACAAGGCATTCATTTTTTATTATTCATTCTTGTTCATTTCATTCATTCATACAGAAACAGAGGTGTGGTTTATAAAGTGTTTTGAACAGGTCTAAAAGGAGTTACACCCACAAAGATTCATGTTCTGTCCATTTGAATGTTAAGTTCTGTGACCCTCCGCAGGCTGCACGTGTTCCGGTCCGTCCCCCGCTTCAGGGTGCTCGTGTGTGGGGGGGACGGCTCCGTGGGCTGGGTCCTGTCGGTGCTGGAGACCATCAGGCACAAGATGGTCTGTAGAGAACCTCCACTCGCCATCCTGCCTCTGGGAACAGGTACCAGCCCACGCCTTTATTTTATTTGTTTAGTACCTGGTCCCTGAAGGTTTGACCAGGTTTTGTATTCACCCTGTGTGTGTGTGTGTGTGTGTGTCCACCTGCGATAATTCTGCCATTTATGGACTGATTGTTACCAAATTTGGTACGTGGGTCAAGCCCCCGTGCTCGATGCCGCAAAAAATGTTTGGTGACGATCCGAGGTCATTCGAGGTCACACGGGTCAATTAAAAGGTCACGCCATTATAAAATGTTATCTGCAATTTCAGCAATTTCTGGACCGTCTGCGGGCTAAAATATTCACCCAATCATCACACAAGTTGGCGCACACATAACCGGGGCACACTGGATGTTACAGGTTGAAACCGGTCAAGGTCACTTGAAGGTCAAGGTAACCAAGGTCAAATATGCGTTTTTGGTCATAACTCCACGAAGGATCGAAAATCTCAGAAAAATTATTATCTATTTATAATTCTATGCATTTGTTTAGTCAAATATTAATAGTTTTCGGCATAATCACTAATTATAACAGTTCCTTTCTCTTTCAGTGTGGACGTTAAAATTCTAATTGGATCGAAAATAATTTACATTTCTTGTTTTTCTGGTGATCACAACACACTGATCTACAGTCACACAGCTAAATATACACACTGTGTTGGGGAGTAACAGATTACATGTACCAGAGTTATGTAATCAGAGTACAAATTATGAGTAACTGTATTCAGTTACAGTTATTGTTTCAGTGAGTGGTAATTGGATTACAGTTACTTTGTTGAAATAAATGGATTACACAGTGGTATTTGCCTGTTTCCACATTTTGGGGTATATCCCTTTTTTTCTTTTTTTTTTTTCTTCGGTAATTCCACTCATTGCCGGACACTAAACCAGGTCTAAACCCAGGTCTAAACCAGGACCTAAACCAGGACTAAACCAGGACTAAACCAGGACTAAACCAGGACTAAACCACCAAACCAGGAAAACCAGGACTAAACCAGGACTAAACCAGGACTAAAACCAGGTCTAAACTATGTCTCAAACAGGATTTAACAGGATTAAATCATGCCGTGCGAACCGAGTCTCCTCCTCTTCTATCAATAATATTTTTAATTTGGTTCAGTAAAGTCTGGGCTTTTTAATGTCTTTTAGCAGATAAAACATTTTATGTGAAGATTGTGAAGAAGAGTCTTTGCAGCAAAATCAAGTAATCCAAAGTATTCAGATTACGTTTCTCACTTTAAGTAATTTAATGGATTACATTAGAAACTACATTTTGAGGTGTGTAATCTGTAATCTGTAAGGGAATACATTTTAAAAGTCACCTTCACAACACTGCATGTACAGAACTCATGAACAGTTACATTTTCGTTACACACTAGTAAACACAGACATTCTCATGTGTGACCAATATCACACAAATGTTCATGGGCCTGTACAGATACACACGTTGCATTGTGGATATAACGATCATGTGATATGGGCTGGACTCCTCATAAACTGCTTCTGTGGTGATGAACTGACCCCACCGATGCCTCATGGGGACCAGGTTGATATCTCTGATTGCTCTTGTTTATTTTTGTGTTTTTTACCTTTTTATTTATTCGTATTTTTGCTCTTTTTTGATTAAACGTGCACTGCGTAACTTTTATCGTAGGGTCTGCCACTCACACTGAGATATTATTGCTTCAAAAATGTTACAGAATATGACATTTAACATATTTATCTAGCAGTCGTTTATTGTTTTTATTCTGTTTTTCCCTGCTTGTGCCTCCTGCTGGTTTTCATGGAGATAAAGTTGATGTCATACTGTGGAACTTTGTTGGCAAACAATAACATCTCCTAGGAGAGAGGAGAGAAATAGAGTTTATATTTATATTTCCATTGTGTTGTTTTTATCTGTATTGTGCAGCACTTGGAAACGGTTTTTGTTTTTGAAATGTGCTCTATAAATAAAGTGGACTGGATTAGACGGGGGTGTGGGACTGAACACCACAGATAAGTTGCTTTCATTTTCTAGAATTTGATGTCATAAGTTAATTTAAAGTGTCCATATTATTATAATGTCGTTTCCTCATCACAAACAGACCTGGAGTTGTGTTTTGTTTTGTTTCATTCACACATGTTTAATTAACACACAAACACATGCCGGCTGATTTAGGCTTAAGAGTTCTTCTCTCAAATAGAAAACACTCTGTTCCACCTTGTGATGTCATGTGGTGATACAGGAAGTGCACTAACACAGGGCTGCTCGATTATGGAAAAAAATCATTATCACGATTATTTTGGTCAATATTGAAATCACGGTTAGTCAAACAATTATTTTTTAGTTACACAATGCATTTATTTAGCGTTTCTCTTTCATAAAACCCACTTTGTTATTGATAATTTACTCAAAACTATCAAATTGAAAATAAACATTGGCTACAACTATGTACGTTAGAGCAGTTTTGTGATGTATAAAACAAAATGAATGAAAATATACTCTGAACATGAAATAAGGCATAGAAAAACATAAATGTATCCAAAATAAACTGTATATATCCAGCTGTTCTACAATCTCTATATTTAAAACATGAAATAAATATACTTACTTATATAAAAATATCCCAAAATAAACTTTGTTAAGCTTGTTTCAACTCGATTATATGAGAGTATATGAGTTTGGAGATCGTTTGACACACAAATCGAAATCGCGACCAAAATTCAGTTGTTTTTAAACTCCACACACCTTCACTAGAATCATTTGGATCATTTCAACCCTGCGATTGCAGATTTCTGAAGAAAAGATAAAAGGAGCTGTTGACTTGAAAACTACAGCTACAACTATGACATCACAAGGTGGAACAAGGTGGAGCATTTTGAGCTTTGAAGATGTAGACAGACAAATAATAAAGAGTTACTCAAACAAAACACAACTCCACGTTTGTTTTTGATGAGGTAATAACATTATAACATGACTTAACGCTCACAAGAGTCAATTCTGCCTAATATAGGACCTCTGGAATGTTCCACAGTGTGACTTTAAACAGCTCTACTTTAAATTTATTCAATTACAGGTGGTTTTATAGCTCAAAAATACCAAGAAAAACAGACATTTTGACTGTGAGCGGGGTCGCCTCTCCACAGATCTGACCTGTAACTTGGTCTGTGTGTGTAGGTGATGTGTAACCCTGTGTCCCTCTTCCTCTCTGTAGGTAATGATCTGTCTCGAGTGCTTCGCTGGGGGGCGGGTTACAGCGCCGAGCCCCCCCTCTCTGTGCTGCAGTCTGTGGAGGAGGCGGACGAGGTGCTCATGGACCGCTGGACCATCCTGCTGGACGCACAGGACCTGAGCCAGACTGGGACTGACAACGGCTACCTGGAACCCCCCAAGGTCTGGAGTCTAGACCGGGTTTGGACCAGGTTTAGACTGGGTTTAGACTGGGTTTGAACCTGGTTTGGACCATTTTTAGAACTGGGGTAGATCTCAGATAGAGTGGATTTCAAACTGGTTTAGAGCTGTTTTATTCCTTAAGTAGATTTATTGGTTTAATCCTGGTTTACATTGGTTTTAGTGCTAGTCTACTCCTGGTGTAGTCCTGGTTTAGACCTGTTTTAGACCTAGTTTATGTTTCTGTTCCAGATCGTGCAGATGAATAACTACTTTGGTCTTGGGATTGACGCTGAGCTCAGTTTGGATTTTCATTTGGCCCGTGAAGATGATCCGGACAAGTTCACCAGCAGGTACCACACCTGGACTAGAGCTGGACGTCTGGTCTGGGTTTAGACTTGCTATAGGCTACTCCTAAACCCCTCTACTCTCTAAAATCACCAAGTAAATAACCAAGATTATTCTGAATTTCACCACCACATTTAGAGATTTTTTTCTAAAACAAAAGTTAATTTCACACAATCCCACAGTCTCTTACTTGTGCCATTTGAACTGCACATGCTGCACTTATTGGTTGGTTAAAATCTCATGATATGATGTTAAATCCTGAGCTCCAAAAACAAAAAGTTTCAAAAACTGCTCAGTGTGTGATACAGGCAGCCACAAGAGCAACCAACCACTTGCAATATGATCCATACAAAGTATCGATATTGGTATCACAGCTGAAAAAGCTGAACTGGTCCATCCCTAAATAAGCACATATATGTGAAAACGGAACTGCATTACTCCAGATTTTCACAGTAAAAGCCTTGTGTCTCCTCAGATTTCACAATAAGGGCGTGTATGTGAAAGTGGGCCTACAGAAGATCAGCTACAGCAGAAGTTTGCACAAAGAGCTCCAGCTCCAGGTGGACTTTGAGACGGTCCCACTGCCCAACATCGAGGGACTCATCTTCCTCAACATACCCAGGTACCACGGTCTAGACCTGGTTTAGGTCTGTGGAAATCCTGGTGTATTACTGCTTTAGTCCTGGATTAGTTCTGTTGTAGTCCAGGTTTAGTCCTGGTTTACTTCTGTTGAAATCTAGGTGACATACTACTTTAGTCCTGATTGTAGTCCAGGTTTTAGTTCTTCTTAGTCCTGGTTTGTACATCTTTAATCCTGATTTAGTTCTGGTTTAGTCCTGTTGTTCCCTTTTAGCCCCCAGTTAAGAAATGTTTAGTTTTGTACACAGCTATGCTTTGATTCACACATTTTTTAGTTCTTGTTTAGACCTAGTTTAGTTCTGACTAGTACTAGTACTTGCTAATAGTTGTTGTAGTCCTGGTCTAGTCCTGGCCTTTAATATCTTGATCTGTGTCACAGTTGGGGCTCCGGGGCCGACCTGTGGGGGTCTGAGACGGACGGTCGCTTCAGGAAACCGAGCATCGACGACGGACTGCTGGAGGTGGTGGGCGTCACTGGAGTGGTCCATATGGTACTACTACTATTATTACTAGTACTATTACTACTGCTGTTACTATTACTACTACTACTACTGCTGCTACTACTACTACTACTACTACTACATGTTTGGTGGTCTAGTCCTGATTCAATCCCCTTTAAGACCAGTTCAGTGGTTTTGTTTATGCTTAATTTTCATCACATTGGCACATCAGATTAAAAATTATCTGTACATCTCAAAAATTAACTTGGGTTTTTATAAAAAAAACACACTTTGAATGGAGCCACTGGTTCAGTCTATGCAAAGTTCTGGTTTGGTCTTAGTTAATTTTTGTTTAGCCTGGCGTATTTTAGCTTTAGTTCTAGTCCTGTTCTATTTCTGTTCTCATCCTGTTTTAGTCCTACTTTAGGCCTGTTTTAGTCCTGGTTTAGTCCTGGCTTTAGTCTTGGTTTAGTCCTGTTTTAGTCCTGCTTTAGTCCTGTTTAGTCCTACTTTTAGTCCTGTTTTAGTCTTGCTTTAGTCCATTTTAGTCTTGCATTTTAGTCCTGTTTTAGTCCTGTTTTAGTCCTGTTTAAGTCCTGTTTTAGTCCCATTTTAGTCCTGTTTTAGTCTTGCTTTAGTCCTTTTTGAGTCCTGTTTTAGTCCTGTTTAAGTCCTGTTTTAGTCTTGCTTTAGTCCATTTTAGTCTTGCTTTAGTCCTTTTTGAGTCCTGTTTTAGTCCTGTTTAAGTCCTGTTTTAGTCTTGCTTTAGTCCCATTTTAGTCTTGCTTTAGTCCTGTTTTGAGTCCTGTTTTAGTCCTGTTTAAGTCCTGTTTTAGTCCCATTTTAGTCCTGTTTTAGTCTTGCTTTAGTCCCGTTTTAGTCCTGTTTTAGTCTTGCTTTAGTCCTTTTTGAGTCCTGTTTTAGTCCTGTTTAAGTCCTGTTTTAGTCCTGCTTTAGTCCTGTTTTAGTTCTCGTCTAGTCCAGATTTAGTCCTGGTCTGATGCTGTTCCAGTCCTCTTGAAGTCCCTGTGTTTAACCTCTCCTGCAGGGCCAGGTGCAGAGCGGTCTGAGGTGTGGGATCCGCATCGCTCAGGGGAACTACATCCGGCTGACGGTGAGTAAAGAAGTCCCTGTGCAGGTGGACGGAGAGCCCTGGGTCCAGCCTCCGGGACACATCATCATCTCTGCAGCAGGACCCAAGGTGAGACGCGGGGGACATTTAGAAACGCTTCACCTTTACGTGTGTTTGTTTGGTCTTTTTAACTTTGACTTTTTAAAAATATTCTCCAGGTTCGGATGTTGCGGAAGTCCAAGCAGAAGCAGAAGAAGCACGCGTCCGGCGGGAAAGACAGCCCGTCCTCCCACAAAGACGCCGCACACTGAGACTTTTGGACAGAGCGAGTTTACACTGCCACAGAAATACTGCTGTTTCTCACGAAGGCTCAAGCGGGAACTGGGTTTAGACCTGGTTTAGTCCTGGTTTCGTCATAGTATTGTCTGAAATAGTTTCTGGATTAGTCCTGGTTTGGTTTCAGTGTGGTCCTGGTTTATTAACATTAGTGCGTTAACTCCGTATAGTCCGAGCTGGTTTAGACCTAGTTTAGTTTAGTCTAGTCTTGGTAGAGCTTCTGGTTGAGTCCTGGTTTAGATCTGGTTTGAACCTAGTTTTGTCAGTCTCGGTTTAGACCTGCTGTTGCTCTAGTTTAACCCAGTTTTCCAAGTTCTAGTCCGATCTATCCTGGTTTAGTCCTCGTTAAACCTCGATTCAGTCGTCATTTGGTCATAATCGTTTGGGTTTCAGCTTTCTGTTACATTCTGAAGACTTTTACCACTCAAAAACATGTTAATCGCTATGGTAACAGTCCTTATTTTTCATCATTCTGAAATCCATACATAGGTTGTGTTCACGTTGAAGAATATTTTCAGCTGGAGGGCAGGAGATTCACTGTTTTTGGAAGAAATCTCCAAACTTCTGATCCACAAATGTTGATCCTTCTCTTTCTGAAGCTCCTTTTATTTATTTATACAAACAGCGAAGACTTTGAACCTTGCGCCGTTTTTTGTTTCGTGTGGATAGGCCCAGTAATTACAGAGATATGAACCGAAAACCGAGGCAACAAATCTGCAATTTAAGCAGTTACACAGAAAATTTCACCTGAAAATTCTGACCTATCTTTTTTATTTATTATTTATTATTATTTTTTATTATTACAAAGATAAATACAAATTATACAAATACAATAAAATACATAAGACAAGGGGAAATAGAGATAACGCCAGTGAAGGAGGTCACACATAAGGAAAATTCATGTTTACAAAAAAAAAGAGAAAAAGTATAGATTAAATTACTTAAGAATTTCCAGAGTTTTAACAACAAGTGGATGGTTTTCTTATAATACTGGATTTCAGAAAGGAAAATGAGAAAGTAGGGTTTATTATTAATTAATTTACATGTATAAATATTAAATTTTGCTAGCTCCAGTTCAAACTGTCGAGCTGTTAAGTGAGGAGGTCATTTCCGGGTCCATCCAGAAACTTCACCGCGTTTTCGTGCTTTAATTTTGTTCTTTTATTAAACAAGAGACATTTACCTTTCAACAGCGTGTTTTTAACCAAAATATGTAAATAATGTAGTGAAAATCAATCATAACAAGTGTAAATGTCTCACTAACTGGTCAATACTAACGCTATCTTAGCCTAGCCTAGCCTAGCCTAGCTTCTTACCTCAACCTCCCTCGCACACTTTCTGTTACAGTTAAAATCGTAGAACTGTGCTTATTACTTTTATTATTATTATTATTATCAGATTTTTTTTATTATTATTACTATTTATTATTATTATTTTTACATGCTTATTACTTTTTTAATGTGAGATGTGGCTAAAATTAGCGGAGGGACCCGGAAATTACAACACACTTAACAGCTGTATTGATATTCAGTTACAATGCACACGTTAGCGAACACTGTCGGAAAAGTTATAAGATCATCTGAAAATTCAAGAAAACAAAACACAAAATGAATTTAAACAGCTCATTTTCAGGAATCAAGACGAGGAGTCTGATTTACTACAAAAAGTGAAAGTGACTAACTGAAAAACTGTTGCCTAACGCTAAAGACTTGTTTAAGATAGAGATGGGCTAAAAAAATATATTAAAAAAATATCGATATAGTGTATCGTTTAATGTCATGACACAGTATCGATATCATGGGCTGCTGTATCGATATATCACCAAGAGTAATTTTTGGTATATTTTAGTAAATTATTTTGTTACAGCGCTACAGTTTTGTTGCTTGATCAGAGGACGGACAGACTTGACATTTTCACTGATTAAAAGTGGTTTAACAAAGACCTAACAAACACAGCCACAATTTAACCTTTATTTTGTATTGAACCGTATCGAATTGATTTGAAATATATCGCATTGAAAGTACACTGTATTGAGGTATGTATCATATCGGCAATTTCTTAATGATACTCAGCCCTTGTTTATGAGCACAAATCATTTCTACCTGTTATAGTTCTAACTAAACCACTAGGGATGTAACAATAACCGAAATATTGTGATATCGTATCGTCAAAAGTCTCACAATAATATCGTGGGCTGTCACAACATATCGAATCACAAGTTCCTTGCTTAAATGCATGGTTTTATAGTACCAACAGCTTATAAACATCGGAAACTACATATCCCATGATGCATTTCAGTGTAAACAACATGAAGAGATATGTTTTTTACTTGAATTCTTGGGATTAAGATGGAAATAATTCACAACAAAATCTTGTCAAGACATTTTAAAAGCAAAAAAGTGTTCCTTCTACAATTATATAAGCCTCTTCGAAATATCGTAATAAATATCGTACCGTGAAATGCATATCGTGACAGTATCGTACCGTGAGATTTGGATAAACCAGCTCTTTCTGACTCTCTCAAGTATCAACAGAGATTCCTCGCTGTTGTGGTTTCACGTGAACACAACCTATGACACACTCCAGCACCACCTCATTTATTTAGTTTTTATTTTTTTTTTTTTCTTGCTTAATTGTGATGTTTTAAAAAGCAGCATTGCGTAACTTTTGTGGTGGATCTTTTCCGTCAAACGCTTTTCTCCACGGAGACGTAATTGCTTTGTCTGGAATTAAACGTTTCTAGCTCCACGGAGACCAAACTAGACCAAGTTACGGGTCAGATCTGCGGAGAGGCAACCCCGCTCGCAGTCAGAATGCCTGTTTTTCTCTGGATTTGTAACTGAATAAATATAAATTAGAACTGTTTAACGTCATACCGCGGAACATTCCAGGCAAAGCAATGACGTATCCATAGAAACAAGCACATAACGGACCCCCGACCAAAAAGTCACGCATTGCAGCTTTATTTCTATTCTAATGTCTTAACTTGAACACTACGTCTCCAAGTCTAACTCATAGAAGTATTCCCAGTGCTGTTTGCCACCTGTAGCAGTAGAGTCTGTTACCGTAACTATTGTAAAAAAAAAAAAAAGGTGCAGCTATTTTTCGTATCGGCTTCTGTCTGTGGGTAATACCGTACTGCTGTTTTAGTAATTACACGACCGTTTTGCACAACGCGAAATGTAACTGGAGGAACTACGACGTCTTACCTGAAACGTTTCTACGATCGAAGGATGCTGCCATTCGAAGAAGTGTCTTTAAGTCCAGGTTTAGTTCCGGTTTAATCCTGGTTTAGACGCCTTTTAGTGCTGTTTTTTAGTCGCTGTTTTACTGTTTACAAGTTAAAGGGCCGATATTACGCTATTTTCTGATTTGTTTTAATGTCGTTTCCTTGTCACAAACCGACCTGGAGTTGTGTTTTGTTTCATTCACACATGTTTAACGCACAAATCCTGCATATTTAAGCTGAGTTCTTCTCTCAAATTGAAAGAAGATGTCATGTGGTAATACAGGAGGGGCTCCATTGTGTTTTTAAACTCCATACACCTTCGCATGGATAATTTCAGCCCTGGAATTGCCAATGAACTAAAGGTAAAAAGAGCTGTTAACTTGAAAACTACTGCGTCACAGAGCATTTCGAGTTTTGGAGATGTAGACAGACTAACGCTGAACGATCTCAGACAACACGATTTTGGGAGCGTCAAAGCCATGTTTTTTTTTGCAGTGCTCCTAAACCCCGATTTATGGATTTATGGATCTGCGTCGAGGTCTGTGCACTGCGAAGTAATTCACGACCACAAAACGAGGAGAAAAGGATTTAAACCTGGCGTTCATGTACAGTTTAACATGAACCATCTCCAACATGATAGAAGTACAGAACAGACTCACCATCATCAGCACATCCTCTGTCACAGAGAGAAAACTCATATTCCACTGAGTCGTGTCCTTTAGAGTTCAGAAGCTGAACCACATCAGCGCACAATCGCGAGCTGTTTTTTGAGCGCTTAAAGTTTATGCAAATTAGCCATGTGGTTTTAAGTTTGTCTCTGTAAAACGTAAACAAATATGCTCAAAGTTGTGTGGATAGGGAAGACTTGCGAACACAGAAACGACGTGCTTGTACGCAAATTGTTTCCGATACGGTGATTGGTTGATTTGTTTTAGTGTAAACATAACCTGAGTCTGACAGAAGCTGAACGCATCAGTCACAAGGAGCGAGCTGTTTTTTTTCAGCGCTTATAGTTTATGCAAATGAGCCATGTGGTTTTAAGTTTTGTTTCTGTAAAATGTAAACAAATGTGCGCATGAAACACATTATAACTCAAAGTATATTAAAAGAAAAGAAAGCAGAGTACAGGGAATGGAGTAATGGAAATGTATGTAGAACTGATGTAGAGAGGACCAATCACAGCCCTTATTGTTTGCGTCGCTTCCCACTGCTGTCGTTTGGACGCATAGTTAGAAAATTTCCGAGGCGCATGTCGGTCGAGGGGATTCATGTCGATGCAGACTCTGCAACGTGAGGCAGACGATTGAGCTTTATGGTCCAGCGTCAAATCATCAGTGCAGGACTCTGGTATGATGTAAGTTTGCATGATATTTGCAAATGTTCATGTGCACTGAAACTTGATTTAAAAAAAGTCGTGGATGAAATCGAAATCGCAATATCTGCCAGAAAAATCGCAATTCAATGTTTTCTTAAAATTGTTCAGCTCTAAGACAGACTAATAATAAAGCGTTACTCAAACATGTGTGAATGAAACAAAACACAACTCTAGGTTTGTTTTTAAGAACTAACAACATTATAACATAAGATGACTCAAATCGCACAAGAGTCAATTTTGTGTAATATAGGACCTTTAATTTAAGTGTAGCCCCTGATTTTCCCAACTAAAACCTACATTATTAAAAATATATATAGATAGAGATGATGTATTAAGAATTGCCATAAAAGAGATTAATCGTAATGTTGGATAATGCACATTTTCCCTGCTGCCCCATTGAGTTATAATGGGTCTTAACGGTGCATTGTGTAACTTTTCTGGTGGCCAGGCTGGCGCCACCTTGTGCCTCCGCTCAATTTCATTTCTCTACAGCGACTAGGTCAGGAATCGAAATACACTAGACGATTTGCAAGAACCCCAGAAATGCAAGTTCGGGCATCAGCCAATCAGAGAGGAGCCAAATATTCTGTGTTGGCGACGATTCCAGAGATCAAGGATTTAAAGTCGCAACAAAGAGAATGTTTGGTGAATTTTATCAAGGGGAAAGACGTTATTGTCCTTCTTCCTACAGGATTTGGGAAAAACTTAAAGGGTCCATCTCATTCAAAATAACTCTTTTCACATTGTATCTTCTGCACATAAACAAGCACAATTTGGGTTTTGGAACATCCATTACACAATAGTTCTGAAATCTTACTGATTTCTTGGAGACAGTCACAGACCAGGAACTATGAAAGTCCGACTATCGCTCCTCCCCCCGCCCGTCCTGAGAAAGCACAGGCTCCGCCCTCCAAACGTGACGTAGGCTCTGAGTGAGCCGCCCTTCCTCCGCCATCTCAGGGAGGGAGGGGGAGACAGACCCTGATAGTGGTAGGAATAAACTTTTATTCATCATGGAGATACAGCGTGTTCAGCCGCATGTGTTGGACCCGGAATCGGACAAGGACTTTGAGGAGCACGAAGCTCAAGCACCGCGTCCACATCAGCTGAACATTACTGATTGGTGAAGTATTAATAAACACTAGTAGATAAACTTATTATATCGTGTTCACTGGAGTCGGGGCGGAGGCGGTGGAGCGGGTGTGAAGCACGTTCTGCTACATCAAACCCGTCATAGGTGTACCTGCCGCGTCATCGTTGTAGCAGCATTAGTTCGTTGTCATGTGGGAGGGTGGCAGAAATACACTGCAATTTGTTTAAAAACTCTTAGAAGGTAGAAAGCTCTGAAAAGTTGATTTTGCATGAGATGGGCCCTTTAATAGACCAGTTATCCCCGTTAGCGGCACATTACATATGTCACAACCAAATAGCAGTGATTGGTTAAATAAAAAAAGTACCCGCGTACCGTCGACCGAACGAATCCTAACGCTGTGAGGTCAGACGGTTTCCACGAAGTGAAGCCAGCGATGAATCAGGCTACTTTTCTGGTGGCGGGTCCGTCAAACACTTTCTAGGTATTTTCGAGTTATAAAACCTCCTGTAATTGAATAAATGTAAAGTAGAGCCGTTTAACTAAATACTTCAATACTGTGGAACATTTCAAACAGAGCAATGACGTATCCATAGAAACAAGCAGGTGACGGACCCCCAACCAAAAAGTTACACACTGCACCTTTAAGGCAGTCAGCTTTGGAAATATTCACAAAAAAATAACATTTGTATTTTGTTATTTTAGTCGGAGAAGTCCAGATTATTTGTTTCTAAATCCATGTCTAATCCGTGGTCGAATATCGAAAGTGTTACGACTTAACAGATAATTATCACATTTTGGTGCTAACGTGGTTTTTATTATTTTATTTGACTTAATTTTATTTTAAACATAACATTTTTTTTTAGAGTTATTTTGACTAAATGTATAAAGTGGTATCAAATGTTTTAGATAATTTATTAAAAGTAAATCTGACCGCTTGAATGCACTGTGTCCAGCTACAGCGCCCCCTGCCGTTCAGACAGAGGTACTGCTTTGCCTGCCACTTTTTTTTTTTTTTTTTTTAAATCACAAATTGACCTAAAATCTGAAAAGAGATTTTGAAAAGTAAAGTACAACTGTCTGTATAGGCCAAGTTAGGTCCAGAGTCCTGGTTTTGGTTTAGACCAGAGGTGTCCAAACTGTGGCCGTGTTAAAATTTGTGTTAACTACCAGTTTAGTCCTGGTTTAGACCTGGTTAAGTCTTGGTTTAGTCCTGGTTTAGGTCTGATTAATCCTGGTCTAGACCAGATTTAGGCCTGATTTAGTCCTGGTTTAGACCTGGTTTAGACCTGGTTTAGTCCTAGTTTAGACCTGGTTTAGACCTGTTTTAGATCTGGTTTAGTCCTAGTTTAGACCTGGTTTAGATCTGGTTTAATCCTAGTTTAGACCTGGTTTAGATCTGGTTTAGACCTGGTTTAGATCTGGTTTAGACCTGGTTTAGATCTGGTTTAGACCTGGTTTAGATCTGGTTTAGACCTGGTTTAGACCTGGTTTAGACCTGGTTTAGATCTGGTTTAGACCTGGTTTAGATCTGGTTTAGTCCTGGTTTAGACCTGGTTTAGATCTGGTTTAGACCTGGTTTAGACCTGGTTTAGATCTGGTTTAGATCTGGTTTAGACCTAGTTTAGACCTGGTTTAGACCTGGTTTAGACCTAGTTTAGACCTGGTTTAGACCTGGTTTAGATCTGGTTTAGATCTGGTTTAGATCTGGTTTAGACCTGGTTTAGATCTGGTTTTAGACCTGGTTTAGACCTGGTTTAGACCTGGTTTAGACCTGGTTTAGACCTGGTTTAGACCTGGTTTAGATCTGGTTTAGACCTGGTTTAGACTGGTTTAGACCTGGTTTAGATCTGGTTTAGACCTGGTTTAGACCTGGTTTAGACCTGGTTTAGATCTGGTTTAGACCTGGTTTAGACCTGGTTTAGACCTGGTTTAGACCTGGTTTAGACCTGGTTTAGATCTGGTTTAGACCTGGTTTAGATCTGGTTTAGATCTGGTTTAGACCTGGTTTAGATCTGGTTTAGACTTATTTCTTTAAAAAGTTACTACTCATCTCTGCCCCTAAAAGTTTGGACCCTCTGGTTTAGACCCCAAAGTACCCGGCGTTAAAGACACACCAAGTCCTCGTTTAGACCAAGTCATATTTCTCATATTTCCCAATAACGACCAAGTACTCTGTAAAGTACTACTACTACAGTACTTCAAACCCGTGTATAAGTATTCGTGTATTAGTAACTCCTCCGGCTCGTTGTGACTCAGTGCCTCTGTGAAATGAAAACGTCGCCCTGTGGTTTTCAGATCCTAAAGTCTTAAAGATGCATTGTGTAACTTTTCTGGCGGAGCGTCCGTCAAACCAGACCAAGTTACAGGTCAGATCTGTGGAGAGGCGACCCCGCTCACAGTCAGAATGTTTGTTTTTCTTGGTATTTTTGAGCTATAAATCCACCTGTAATTGAATAAATGTAAAGTAGAGCTGTTTAAAGTCACACTGCGGAACATTTCAAGCAGAGCCGTGACGTAACCATAGAAACGAGCAGGTGACGGACGCCCAGCCAAGTTACACGGTGCACCTTTAAAGACGTTTAATCGATATAATTCCCTTTAAGACTGGACAAAAACAAAACAAACTGCATTAAATATTTTCTGTTCTTACACGATCGACAGTTCAAGTCTGGTTTTGGTTTAGACCTGGTCTGAGTCCCACTTTCGCTGTGATTTAATGCTGCTGTGTTCTAGTCCGGGTTTAGACCTGGTTTAGTCTTGGTTAAGTTCTGGTTTGGACCTGGTTTACTCCTGATTTAGTCTTGGTTAAGACTTGGTTTAGTCCTGGTTTAGACCTGGTTTAGTCTTGGTTTAATCCTGGTTTAGTCCTGGATTAGACCTGGTTTAGTCCTGGTTTAGTCCTTTTTGGTTCAGACCTGGTTTAGTCCTGGTTTAGTCCTATGGTTTAGACCTGGTTTAGTCCTGGTTTTAGTCCTGGTTCAGACCTGGTTTTACCTGGTTTTCCTGGTTTAGTCCTGGTTTAAGTTTCCTGGTTTAGTCCTGGTTTAGTTCCTGGTTTTAGACCTGGTTTAGTCCTGGTTTAGTCCTGGTTTCAGACCTGGTTTAGTTTAACCTGGTTTAGTCCTGGGTTTAGACCTGGTTTAGAGTCCTGGTTTAGACCTGGTTTAGTCCTGGTTTAGACCTGGTTTAGTCCTGGTTTAGTCCTGGTTCAGACCTGGTTTAGTCCTGGTTTAGTCCTATTTTAGACCTGGTTTAGACCTGGTTTAGTCCTGGTTTAGTCCTGGTTCAGACCTGGTTTAGTCCTGGTTTAGTCCTGGTTCAGACCTGGTTTAGTCCTGGTTTAGTCCTGGTTAAGTCCAGGTTTAGTCCTGGTTCAGACCACACGCAGCATTCTTATTCAAAGTTCAATCTCTCGGTCCGTTCAAAGTCCTGGTTTAGTTCTGAGTCCGGCTCAGACACAGGGAGTGCCTCATATGTTCCTATGTGCATTTATTTCACATGAAGTTGTAAAAAATTAAATGATGTATATTTTTGCAGAAGTTTGTGTTTTTAGTTTTGTTTTTTGAGTTAAATGTAAAATGTTGAACTGAATGTTAAAATGTTGAATATTAATGTAATTAACAATGTGACAATTCTAATAAACTGGAGTCTACGAAATAATAACACCAGGAGTTTGTGTTTCATCTGGTTCAGACCTGGTTTAGACCTGGTTTAGTCCTGGTTTAGTCCTGGTTTAGACCTGGTTTGTCCTGGTTTAGTCCTGGTTTAGACCTGGTTTAGTCCTGTTTAGACCTGCTGGTTTAGACCTGGTTTAGTCCTGTTTAGACCTGGTTTAGACCTGGTTTAGACCTGGTTTAGACCTGGTTTAGTCCTGGTTTAGACCTGGTTTTAGTCCTGTTTAGACCTGGTTTAGACCTGCTTTAGACCTGGTTTAGACCTGGTTTAGTCCTGGCTTTAGAACCTAGACCTTTTTAGACCTGGTTTAGTCCTGCTTTAGACCTGGTTTAGACCTGCTTTAGACCTGGTTTTAGACCTGGTTTAGTTTCCTTCTTTAGACCTGGTTTAGACCTGGTTTAGAGTCCTGGTTTAGACCTGGTTTAGTCCTTTAGTCCTTTAGACCTGGTTTAGTCTTGGATTAGACCTGGTTTAGACCTGCTTTAGACCTGGATTAGTTCTGGTTTAGACCTGGTTTAGTCCTGTTTTAGACCTCTTTTGGACCTGGATTAGTGCTTGTTTAGTCCTGGATTAGACCTGGTTTAGACCTGGATTAGTTCTGGTTTAGACCTGGTTTAGAACTGCTTTAGACCTTCTTTAGACCTGTTTTAGACCTGGTTTAGTCCTGGATTAGACCTGGTTTAGTCCTGCTTTAGACCTGGTTTTGATCAGTGCTTCTTTAGTCCACTTGTGGTTTTTGGTTGAGTTCTGGTCTGGTCTTCTCATCTTAATTCCAATTCCAGTTTTTAAAGGTTCACTATGTAACTTTCCTTCCCTCCATGGAGACAAGCAGCTGACGTCCAAGCCACAGTCACAGGTCAGCGTAATAAATAAATAAATAAATAAATAAATAAAATACATACTATAGAACACTGCAAAATAAGCAATATCATCACCATGGAGACAAGCAGGTAGCAAATCCCCCATCAGAAAAGCTCCACAGTGCATCTTTAAGTTCTCTACTCGCCAGTGTTCGTGTTGTGGAGAGTGTCCAGTGCTGCCCCCTGCTGGAGCCTGCCCCGTCCTGCGCTCACACAGAGGATCTTTGACGAACACGAAGTCTCACTCTGATGATCGCGCTCAGGTTCAGTTCCTTCATGTGTCCGTCAGGTTCGTTCGTTCTGTTCCCTCACCACAGGGGGCGCTGTCAAATTTTGTATTAATTAATGCTCCACTAATTGGCAAGGCACCCGGTTTTCAGATGAGACAGAACTTTGAATTTTATTTAATCTTGTAAGTAATCAGTTTTATCCAGGTTTTATTCTGTTTTAGACCTGTTTTATTTCTGGTTTAGAGCTGGTTTTGACCTGGTTTAGATCTGATTTAGTTCTGGTAGAGACCTATTTTATACCTGTTTTAGACCTGGTTTAGTTCTGGTATAGACCTCTTTTAGACCTGGTGTAGACCTGATTTAGACCACGTTTAGACCTGGTTTAGACCTGTTTTGTTCTGTTTTATACCTGTTTTAGACCTGGTTTTGTCCTGTTTTTTATCCTGCTTTTATGAAAATAATAATAGTGCATCAGTTTTATACATAACTCTTCTGGACACTTACAGACGCTTTACAGATCATTATTTCATTCACTCCACTCCCAGTGGTGGTAAACTACTACTGTAGCCACAGCTGCCCTGGGGCAGACTGACAGAAGCGAGGCTGCCAGTCTGTGCCATCGGTCCCTCCGACCACCACCACACACACACACACACACACACACACACACACACACCACTTTCATACTCGGCAATGAGCATGAAGTGTCTTGCCTAAGGACACAACAATACTTTTTGTGACTTGTGCCCCTACTGATTTTCCCAGTGTTTCCATCCAAGTCCTGACCAGGTCCAGCCCTGCTGAGCCGCTGAGATCTGACGGGATCAGGCTCTGACAAACCGGTGTGGCCACGGTTTAGTCCTGGTTTAGTCCTGGTTTAGTCCTGGTTTAGTCCTGGTTTTGTTCTGGTTTTGTCCTGGTTTTGTTCTGGTTTTGTCCTGGTTTTGTCCTGGTTTTGTCCTGGTTTTGTCCTGGTTTTGTCCTGGTTTTGTTCCTGGTTTTGTTCCTGGTTTAGTCCTGGTTTTGTCCTGGTTTTTGTCCTGGTTTGTCCTGGTTTAGTCCTGGTTTTTCCTGGTTTTGTCCTGGTTTTTGTTTTTCTGGTTTTGTCCTGGTTTTGTCCTGGTTTTGTTCTGGTTTTGTCCTGGTTTTGTCCTGGTTTTGTTCTGGTTTTGTTTTGTCCTGGTTTTGTCCTGGTTTTGTCCTGGTTTTGTTCTGTTTTGTTTTGTCCTGGTTTTGTCCTGGTTTTGTCCTGGTTTTGTTCTGGTTTTGTCCTGGTTTTGTCCTGGTTTTGTTCTGGTTTAGTCCTGGTTTAGTCCTGGTTTTAGTCCTGGTTTAGTCCTGGTTTAGTCCTGGTTTTGTCCTGGTTTAGTCCTGGTTTTGTCCTGGTTTAGTCCTGGTTTTGTAATGGTTTTGTCCTAGTTTAGAGCTTTAGGTAATGACCGAAATGATCGGAAGAGGATCCCACTGGAGGAGCTGGGCCCAGGTTAAAGCAGAACAGAACTTTTATATTTTATCCATTAAAGGGCTCGTGTTAGACTATTACCTTTACAAACCGACCTGGAGTTGTGTTTTGTTTCATTCACACATGTTCTTCCCTCAAACTGATAACACTCTGTTCCACCTTGTGATGTCACGTGGTAATACACGACATACTCCACTGTGTTTTTAAACTCCATCATTAGACACCTTCACTAGAATCATTAGACAATTTCAACCCTGGAGTTTCTCATCTCCACTGAACTATAAAGATAAAGGGTAAAGATGATAACTTCAAAACCACCACGACATGACATCACAAGGTGGAACAGAGAGTTTTGAGCTTTGTAGACACACTAACAATAACAACAAAAGCGTTACTCAAACATGTGTGAATGAAACAAAACACAACTCCAGGTCTGTTTTTGATGTGGTAACAACATTATAACACAACTTCACGCAAACAAGACTTAATTGTGCTTAATATATAATAATAATAAGACTTTTTTTTTTTTACTGATTAACTGTGTAAATGGGTCTAAGACCTGGTTTAGTCCTGGTTCAGCCCCGCTTTAGTCCTGGTTTAGTCCTGCTTTAGACCTGCTTTATACCTGGTTTAGACCTGGTTTAGATCTGCTTTAGTCTTGGTTTAGATCTTGTTTAGTCCTACTCCTACTTTAGTCCTGGTTTAGTCCTGGTTTTGCCCTGCTTTGACCTGCGTTAGACCCGGTTTAGTCCTGGTTTAGACCTGGATTAGACCTGCTCTAAACCTGGTTTAGGTCAGGTTTAGCCTTGGTTGAGACCTGGTTTAGTCCTGCTTTAGACCTAGTTTAGACCTGGTTTAGACCTAGTTTAAACCTAGTTTAGTCCTGGTTGAGTCCTTGTTTAGACCTGGTTTAGATCTAGTTTAGACCTGGTTTAGACCTGCTTTAGACCTGGTTTAGTCCTGGTTTAGTCCTGCATTAGACCTAGTTTAGACCTGGTTTAGACCTGGTTTAGTCCTGGTTTAGACCTGGTTTAGTCCTGGTTTAGTCCTGGTTTAGACCTAATTTAGACCTGGTTTAGTCCTGGTTTAGACCTAGTTTAGACCTGGTATAGTCCTGGTTTATACCTGGATTAGTCCCGGTTTAGACCTGGTTTAGACCTGGTTTAGTCCCGGTTCATTTCGCCAGGTGTCGCGCGGAGTGGCCCCTCGCGCTCCTCGGCTCTATCTGTGCGCGCGCGCTACGTCAGGGGGAATTTCCAGGGGGAAGGAAACTAAACTTCACTCCTCCTCCTCCTCTTCGGTCTCACCTGCGCCTCACTCTCTTCTCTCTTCTGTCTCCGTCTCACCTCCGCGAACTTCTCCTCGATCACCGTAAAAAAAAAAAAAAAAAAAAAAAAAAAAAAAAAAAAGAAAACCCGTCCGTCTCCCGTCCACGCCGCGCGCCTGACGTCATGACGCACTGCAGCCACGGGAGCTTACGGTAAATGGCTCTGCAGCAGCGGCGGCGTCGGCATGCGCTCGGACCACTCCGCTCCGCACCCCCGCTCTCCTGCCCCGCTCCGGCCGCTTTTCGGGACTGAATTCACGTTTTGAGGCCGTTCGACGTGACGCACAGGTACGTACGCCGCGCGGTTTGTACGTGGAAAAACGCGCGGACCGGGTGCGCAAATGTGACCGCGCTGACCTGTTATTACCGCGGTACAGTGGAGTCTGGCTCAGCGCTTTGTTGTGCTACTCACTTCCTCATTGGGCGAAACGTCAACCAAAAATCAAATATTAACTGTAGATTTGACAGTTTTGAGCTAAACTTACGCAAACTTTTACACCGATGCGTATTTACGTAAGAAGCACGCGAATATTGACGCGAATATTTGCACACTTTGCAAAAATAAAGTTGTGAAAAAGTCTTGTCAGTCAGTAATAAACTACGTACAGATCGACTATTATCGTCTTCGTTATCAAAATTCTGATGAAAAAATAGTACAGTAGTATAGTAAATAGTATAAGTATAATTATTTAAAATGTGTCATAATTTTAGATAATTTCAGATTTATATAATGCAAAATACATAAACAACAACACAAAAGTTTAAATCAGAGGTGTCAAACTCAAATTAAAGGGCCAAAATTAAAAAACTGGGACTAAGTCGTGAGCCAAACAAAATTTTATGTTTTCTCTTCTTTTGGGATATGTAAAGTTAAACCTTTTCTTATTAAAATACATTTTTAATAATAGTTTTGCTTTAACATTGAATCCAGAACAAGCAAAATTTAAATAAATAATGTCTCTAAAGTCGATCTGTAGGCGGCGGGCAGCTCTAATACATGTTTGATTTGATCTCACGGGGCCAAATAAAATTATATCGAGGACCAAATTTAGCCCCTGGGCCTGACTTTGACATGTCTGGTTTAGAATGTAATAAAAGCACACGCTCAGAATCATTTGTTCATTAGTTTTTCAAAATAAAACCAAAAAAATAAATAAATATATCAATTATTATTTGTCTTCAAAACCAAAATGAAAAATTATAATAACAATTAGTTGTTTTTTTCCAGTGTTCGATTTTGTGTTTAAATAAAAAATGGAAAAAACTGATAACGAGCTAAACCAAGACTAAACCAGGACTAAAACGGGTCTAAATTAGGTCTAAACCAGAACTAAACTAGGTTTAAAACAGGACTAAAACAGGTCTAAAACACTACTGAACTAGGACTAAACCAGGAGCAGTTTAGTCCTGGATTAGTCTCAGTAGTTGTCTGGTCCCAGTCTCAGTCCTGGTCTCAGTCCTGGTCTCAGTACTGGTCTCAGTCCTGGTCTCAGTCCCGGTCTGGTCCTAGTCTCAGTCCTGGTCTAGTCCTGGTCTGGTCCTGGTCTCAGTCCCAGTCTCAGTCCTGGTCTAATCCCGGTCCCAGTCCCGGTCTGGTACTGGTCTCAGTCCTGGCCTTAGTCCCGGGCTGGTCCCAGGCTCTTTCTTGATCACCTGACAGTCTACGTGGGCGCATCTCCGGGCCCGTCCCCAACACTTAGACCTGGTTTAGTCCTAGTTTATTCCTGGGTTAGACCTGGTTTAGTCCTGGTATGAGATGTTCCACCTTGTGATGTCATGTGGTGATGCAGGAGGTGCTCCACTGTGTTTTTAAACTCCACGCACCTTCACCAGAATCATTCGGATGGATCTCTCAGCCTCCTGGAACTGATCTTTACCGAACGAAAGCTAAAAGAAGTTGAAAAAGTTAACACGAAAACTGCCACTTCATGACATCACAAGGTGGAGCAGAGCACGTTGAGCTTTGGAGACGTAGACAGACAAATAATAAAGCGTTACTCAAACATGTGAATGAAACAAAACACAACTCCAGACGCGTTTTCGGTGAAGAAACATAACATAGAAAAAGAAAAATCACGATTAAATGTTTTATAACCGTGTAGTTCTAATCTAGATGTTTTGAACGGATTTGTAAATGTGATAATCATAAGTGCTGTGACAGACCCTGGAGCTTTTCTTTTGGGTTAAACTTTTTATTTGTGGTTGTTCGTGTGTGAAATCTTCAAATCAGCGTTTGACTCTAGGACCTCAGACTTCTGTCGACTGTGGAACTTCTCTTTCCACAAATCTTATCTTCAAACCCAAACCAGACTCACTGTGAGGTGACATCAGAGCGTCACACGATTATATTCGCCTGTTTGAAGGTGTGACTTTTCCGCTTTTCTCCTTGGAGATGTTATCGTGGTGTTCGAAAACCAAAGACCAAACCAAACCGTGTGTCATTCGCTCGTTCGGTTTTCAAAATAAAACCAAAAATAAGAAAACGAAGAAAAAAAACCCCAACTATTTTCTTCATTATTTGTCTCCGTTTCCCGTTTCCGTGACTTAAACTGTGATGTCGGACTGAACCAGGACTAAACGAGGTCTCAGTCCTGGTCTTGGTCCCGGTCTAAGTCCTGATCACCCGACTACACGGGCCGGGCACAACTCCGGGCCCGTCCTGACACTCCTGTTTCAGTCCTGGTTTAGACCTGGTTCAGTCCTGGTTTAGTCCTGGTTCGGTCCTGGTTCAGTCCTGTTTTAGTCCTGTTTTAGTCCTGTTTTAGCCCTGGTTTAGCCCTGGTTTAGTCCTGTTTTAGTCCTGGTTCAGTCCTTGTTCAGTCTTGTTTAGTCCTGTTTTAGTCCTGGTTCAGTCTTGGCTCAGTCCTGGTTTAGTCCTGGTTCAGTCCTGGTTTAGTCCTGGTTTAGTCTTGGCTCAGTCCTGGTTCAGTCCTGTTTTAGTCCTGGTTCAGTCCTGTTTTAGTCCTGGTTTAGTCCTGTTAAGTCCTAGTTCAGTCCTGGTTTAGTCCTGTTTAAGTCCTAGTTCAGTCCTGGTTTAGTCCTGTTTAAGTCCTAGTTCAGTCCTGGTTCAGTCTTGGCTCAGTCCTGGTTAGTCCTGTTTTAGTCCTGGTTCAGTCCTGTTTTAGTCCTGGTTTAGTCCTGTTTTAGTCCTGTTTTAGTCCTGGTTCAGTCCTGTTTTAGTCCTGGTTTAGTCCTGTTTTAGTCCTGGTTCAGTCCTGTTTTAGTCCTGGTTTAGTCCTGTTTTTGTCCTAGTTCAGTCCTGGTTCAGTTCGGCATCACAGTTTAAGTCACAGAAACGGGAAACGGCTGTTATCATCCATTTTTAAAAACAATTATTGTAATTTCATTAATCCATCAATTTTCTTCCACTTCATCCGGAAGAAAATGGATTGGATTAACCAATCAGAGAGAGGCGTGCTCTATTTGTGTTATAAACAAACATGGCTGCTTAAAAAAAACAAAAAACAATAACATAAAGGACTGAGAGCACCAAACTATGACTTATCTCAGGTTAAAGAAGTTCTATATTTTATTCTGAATATTACGAGAATTTTTGGAGAGGAGATGTCCAAAAATTCTCGTATTTTTTTAAGCGGCCATGTTTGTTTATAACGCAAGCAGAGCACGCCTCTCTCTGATTGGTTAATCCACCTGTCAATCACGCTTTCTGAAATCAGGGAGACCGGACCCAGCTCCAGATCCACTCATTAATTAATTTGAATTAATCTGAATTTTGATCGCGATTTCGATTTGTGTCAAACGATCTCCAAACTCATATAATTGTTAGTAGTTGAAACTTTAATTTTGTTTTTGTTTTTTTTATATTTATTTAGTGTATTTATTAGAGCCTGACCGATATATCGGCTGGCCGATATTATCGGCCAATATGGGCACCTGGAGACATATCGGCTGATATGCTTGCTGATATGGGCCGATATTTCACGTGGGCATGTTATACCTCGTTATAAAGCTTAGACTCTCTACATTATCATTTAATCCAATTTACAGACAGATAAATGTCCTAATATGTGGCTCCGCATCAGTATTTATCTACGGTGTAATTTGTCTGTGTCTGTGTCGTACTGTCCCTGAACACACCACCAGAGTGACGTCACTTCACTCACGTGTGTTTGTTTACACCCGCAGCCGTGCGCAACACTGAGATTATATTCTTTTTCGGACAATCGGTTTGAGTCTGGATTAAAAGGACTTTTATTAGTGCAGACTTGTGATGTGGGAGGAGCCTGTGTGAGCGGTGAGTGTTGGAAATACATCGACTTTGAAGCTAGTTTAGGTTTTGTTAGCTGCTGTAGCTCCCGCACATAAACAGGCTGTTTTCTATTGGTCTATTGTAAAGTGACTATATTGGTCGTATATTTGTTACTGGACCAGCATTGATATGTAAATGAGCTGTGAATAGACGTGTGAATGATCCACATTTATGCATATAATTAATTACCGCGGTGCGCAGCATTTACGGCTAAAGGCTAATAGCGATAGTTTACTAGCTAGGAGTTATGGGTCGGTCGCGATCGAAGCGGCTCTTAGTGCCGACTCTTTGAAGCGAACAACGGGAGCATGTTTCTTATTGGGAGCCGTGTTTTCTCTTTTTCTCACTTTTTCTCTTCATGCCGCATGTAGACCCGTAGTTTGACAGCAGCAGCGGCTGAAAACGAAACTTTCAGAAATCTGCGTGTGCATAGGATAAAAAAAAGTGCATATTTGGCTGCAGTTCAGCATAAAATGAATAAACCAGGACTAATCTTGGGCTCGAGTGAAGGAGAAAGATAGAAACCGAGTCCCGACACTCAGTCCTGGTTCAGTTCTGGTTTAGTCCTGCTTGCAACAAAACAATCTCAAGAGTCGCTTGGGAGCCGAAAGAGCCAGCTGCTTTAGTGAGCCGAGCCGGTTCTCCAAAAAAAAAACAAAAAAAAACTGGAATACCCATCACTAGTAGCTAGAATGTGATGCAAAAATGCCATTAGGCCAATCTACTGTATGTAAATATGATGTAAAGAGTCAGAATAACAATAAATGTTGCCTAAATAAACCCAATTTAGAATCCACTAGAGCCAAACCTAAGTTTTTTAATCAATTCAAGATTTACAGTGAATTTTTACATCACTAAATATATCGGCGATTATATCGGCTATCGGCAGGTCCAACTCCCATTATATCGGTTTCATATCGGCCACAACAAAATCCATATCGGTCAGGCTCTAGTATTTATTTAATTTTTTTAAAATATAGAGATTGTAAAACAGCTGGATCTATAGTTTATTTTTGACACATTTATGTTTTTCTATGTTTTATTTCATGTTCAAAGTGTATTTTATTCATTTTATGTTTTATACATCACAAAACTGCTCTAAGTTACAGATTTGTCACCTATTTTTATTTTCGATTTGAAAGTGTTACTTAAATTGTCAATAACAAATGCTGAATAAATAAAATAAAATAAATAAAAATAAAATGCAAATGCTAAATAAATAAAATTAAATAAATAAAAATAAAATGCATCATGTAACTAATAATTGTGATTTCAATACTGACTAAACTAATTGCGAAAATGATTTTTTTCTATAATTGAGCAGCCCTAAAAGCGTGTGAAAAGCGTCTCTTTCACACACGTTTAAGAAATCCTTTATTAATCGCCCACCTTATGATGTCATGAAGTGGTATTTTTCAGGTTAGCAGCTCCTTTTTACCTTTAGTTCTGTAGAGATTTGCAATTCCAGGTCTGAAATGATCCAAATTCTGTTCTATTCTAATTCAGAAAATACAGCAATATGAGCTTTTTAAAACATATTTGACTGACATTTCATTCACTAAAACTAAAGAGAATTATTTTTACTTAATCTTGAGTAAAACTAAATAAAAAAATAAACTGTCAAAACTGAGAATTGTACAAAAATTTTAACGTTTTTCTGTGTTTTTTTTTTTTTTGCAGAGTAAAGATGGCCACTGACGACCCGTACCTCCACCCTCCCCAGGTAACGCTCTTCTTATTTAAAGCTGCACTGTGTAACTTTTTTGGAAAGGATTTGCCGCTTGTTTGTCTCCATGGAGATTTAAATTGTCCACAGTATGGCATTAAACTGATCTGTGTTACATTTATTCAACTACAGGTGTTTTTATTCCTCAAAAATATCTTTAAAAAAATATCGATTTTCACTGTGTGGTCTCGCCTCTCCACAGATCTGACCTGTAATTTAGCTTGCAAGTCTGTACATCTCCATGGTGACGGACGCTCCGAGTTACACAGCGGAGACACATTTAGATTACGATAAATTATAAAATTGAAACGACTTTATGCCACGGAAATAATTAAAATAAAGCAAAATAAGAGACAGAAGTCGATAAAAAGCCTGAGCTGCCGAATTAAAGCCGCGTAGTGTAACTTTTCTGGAGAACGTTCTGTCAAGTCGAATGCGTTTCTTGATGGAGATGTTATTGCTTTGTCTGGAAAGTTTCACAGTTGTCACGTTTACATGAGAGCTTTAATTCTGAATAAAAATTAATTCTGCTTTAAAAAAAAAGACCATGTAAGTGATTATTCGGATTTAAACTTACCGTATTTTTCAGACTATAAGTTGCACTTTTTTTCATGGTTTGGGTGTTTCCTGTGACTTATACTCCAGTGTGACTTAAATATTAAAATGTTGAGAGTGAAGCGGTGAGAGGTTCTAGTCTTGTGTGTGAGTATCTGCTGCTCCTGTTCCTCCTGCACCACTGTCACTTGGCTCTACTGCGCATGTCTCCTGCAGAAAGAGCTGCAAGTAAAAGTGAAATATTCAGTCAAAAACGGTAATCGAGCAGCAGAAAGAAAGTTTGGAGTGAGTGAGAAACTTGTGAGGGACTGTCAGAAAGCGGTGATGGAGAACACGACTTCACTGCAAATGGGAGGATGCACCATGAAACTTTCCTGAAGTCACTGGATGAATCGACAAAGCCTGGACTTCAGTGACACCGAAACCATCCTGTCGGGATTCAGAAAGACCGGAATAATTCTAACTGGAACTGATGCTGAGTCTGACGTAGGGGTGGGCGATATCTCGATATTTGAAATACATCTCGATATTTTTAAAACTCAATATGGATTTTGACATATCGTATATATCGATATAATGCTTATTAGGGATGGGCTTGATTAGTCAATTATTAATCGATAATTGATCATTAAGAATTTCATCGATTATGTTCATTTTAATCGACAAACCGAATGTAGGTTGCTGTGTGGAGCGAGACACAAACAGTGGGTCAGTCTGCAACGTACTGAAGCACAAATGTGTATTTAACAATGACTTGTACAAGAAATTCCACACTTTCCGTTGCGTTCGGGACAAGTGTGAGTCCATGTGCACAGTGTATAAAGCAGCACATATGTTTCTGTGTCCAGTGGGAAAAAGTTTTGCCAGGTGAGAGTCGCTCAATGTTGATGACGAGTCCCCACCTCCCTCCCCCCGTACGGTGTCCTGGTTTTGACAAACGCAGACCTGGTCACACTAACCTGTATTCAACTGAGTCGTGCCGCATCAGCGCACAAGAGCTGTTGTTTTCCTTCACTTGCTTCACTTAGTTTATGCAAATTTCCCATGCAGTTTTAAGTTTCATTTCTGTGAGACTTGCACAAAGCTGACATTATAATGTCAAACGGATTGATGTGGCTCTAGAGTCGTTACGGTTTATATGTCGTAAGGTTGAATTTATTTATGCAGATTAGTAGTGCAGATAGTAATAATAATGATGATCATTTTAATATAAAAACGTAAATGATTAATCGATAATTGATTGTTAATTCTTCCGACGATCGATTAAGAAAATTTTATCGAATGCCCATCCATAATGCTTACATATTCTGATTTCGCCGCTTCGCTTATTTACCGGCTCTGTGCTCGTCCGTGCGCCTCCGCCTCCTCGCTTTTGTTCGCCCTCCTCTCCCACACTCCCCTTGCGTGTGTCTCACTCAACACGGCGGCGCCAAAACCAGCCCGGAGGATACAGAACTCGTCTCAAAAAAAGGACAACCAACTCCATTATACGGAGATACTTTGATTTTAAGGCGTCGGACGAACAGCAGTGAATGCCAAAAGTTACTAGCACCATGTAACTTTTCCACCGTTTACAGACGAGGCCAACAGCAGCACTTCCTCTGTCACATGGAGTACGTATACATGCACATGAGTATCCCGGTTATGATCGGGTTTTTTGAGTATCCCGGTTTCGTCATGGTGCATGTAAACGGTTTCAGTATCCCGGCTATGAGAAACCGGGTTACTGTAGCTGGTATTTTCCGACAGTAACCGGGATACTGTGGCATGTAAACGCAGTATCCCGGTTACTGCAACATAAAGTTGAGTGCGCATGCATCCAGAAGACAAACACTTTTCAGTCTTTTCACCGCAACAACAGTGACATAAATAAAGTGACCATACATGAGTGAAATGACTGCGCTAAACCTGCACAGATATACGCCCAGAACAGACTCACCATCATCAGCACCTCCTCTGTCGCAGAAAAAACACACATATTCCACTGAGTCATGTCCTTTAGTCCGACAGAAGCTGAACCACATCAGCGGCACAAGGAGCGAGCTGTTTTTATCTGCACTAAAAGTTTATACTCATGAGCCATGTGGTTTTAGTTTCAGTAAAACGTAAACAAATGTGACAAAGCTGAATTATATGATCAAACGGGCTGATGTGGTCATGGTTCATATGTTATAAAGTTGAGTTTATTAATGCAGAATATTTTAATAATACATCTACACGTTGGGTTTGATGTGTGTAGTGGATTGTGGGATACCTCATAACTCCATAAAATAACCTCCCGAGCTTCCTGTTTGTATTTTTCCTGGTTTATTAACTTAAATTAGGTACATTTTTGCACTTGCGCATTTGTAAGTTTATGTCAAGAAACAGGGATACTACATTTGATCATGTATACACCAATATGAGTGTCCCGGTTTCTCATTTCCCGAATACTGACATAACATATGGATAATAACCGGGATACTGATGTGCACGTAAACACACTCATAGATCCACGGAGAGAACACTCATATTTAGTCCCACTGAAGTCGTGGCACTGCAGTTTACGCAAATGAGCCATGCGGTTTTAAGTTTTGTTTCTGTAAAACGTAAACAAATGTGATCAAAGTTGCATTAAACACGTGATAATCTCAAATGGGCTGATGTGGTTCTATAGTCGTTATGCTTTATATGTTGTAAAGTTTAGTCATGTAAAGTTTATTTATGCAGAAAATGTTAATTAATAATCTGCTGAAGTGTCACTTGTACAACTTTGGGTTTGATCTGCAGTGGATTGTGGGAAACCTCAGAGCTCCTGACGCTGGTGAGGAACATGGATCTGTTAAAATAAAGAACCTCCTGAGCCCATGGTTCTCGTACGTTTACAGACTTAATGCAAAGATGAGCTTGAGTTGAGTTGTTTTAATTTAACTTTGAATGAATAGAAGGCAATATGTATTATTTTTGTATACAGGGATGTTTTTATTAATGTCACAGAAGCACTTTGTTCCAAAATGAACATTGTGGAATTTGTTTTTATAGTGGATTTGGGAGGTTATTTTTTATTATTTTATATTTTTTTGCTCCATATCTCCCAGCCCCACGTTAACATATTAACGCCTATTCAGTCTGTTGTTCTCTGTTCTGTTGTTGTTACTAGAACTTGCCTTTCAAGATGAAATGTCGGTTCCTGGTCTCTGATTTTATTAAATAAATTTCCCCCGAAAGTGCGACTTGTATATGTTTTTTTCTTCTTCATTGCTCATGAAACGAATAATGATAAAACAATAAATTACTTTTACTTACGTTTCCAACTCCTCCGTTCCTTTACTTTTCACGTTGTAGTTCTTCTTCTTCACTTGCCGCTTGATCGGTCCGTCGGAAAATAGAGTCCCGCGGTCACTTACGTTGTGGCTTTTTAATGTGTTGTGGCTTTTTAATGTGTTGCGGCTTTTTGATGTATTGTGGCTTTTTTATGTGTTGCGGCTTTTTAATGTGTTGCGGCATTTGCTTTTGTGTTGTGGCGTTTGCATTAAAATAGAGTCCCGTGGTCATTTCCGTTGTGGCTTTTTAATGTGTTGTGGCTTTTTAATGTGTTTTGGCTTTTTAATGTGTTGCGGCATTTGCTTTTGTCTTGTGGCGTTTGCATTAAAATAGAGTCCCGCGGTCATTTCCGTTGTGGCTTTTTGATGTGTTGTGGCTTATTAACGTGTTGTGGCTTTTTAATGTGTTGTGGCTTTTTAACGTGTTGTGGCTTTTTAACGTGTTGCGGCTTTTTAACGTGTTGCGGCTTTTTAACGTGTTGCGGCTTTTTAACGTGTTGCGGCTTTTTAACGTGTTGCGGCTTTTTAACGTGTTGCGGCGTTTGTATTTGTTGCGGCGTTTGCATTAAAATAGAGTCCCACGGTTATTTCCGTTGTGGCTTTTTTTTTGGTTTGTTGTGGCTTTTTGTCGTGTTGTCGCGTTTGTATTCGTCGCGGCGTTTGCGTTTGTGTTGTGGCGTTTGTATTTGTTGCGGCGTTTGCATTAAAATAGACTCCCACGGTCATTTCCGTTGTGGCTTTTTTCTGTTTGTTGTGGCTTTTTGTCGTGTTGTCGCGTTTGTATTCGTCGCGGCGTTTGCGTTTGTCGTGACCCCTCTCGGCTTCCGTACAATGAAAACAGAAACCTTTAATGCCGCACTGCGAAACATTCCAGACCAAGCAATAACATCTCCGTGAAGAAAAGTTAAACAATGCATTTTTATTAATATTGTGATTTAAAATGTCCTTATTATTACTATTAATGGATCACAGTATTTATTGAAAATTACGTCAAAATCTCGCGTCACGTCTCGTCTCTTGAAAAGTTTCTCGACTTACTCAGTTTTTATTCACTGTTTATTCACAGTTTTCTTCTCACTGATGCTCTGACGTTGTGTTTAGAATGATTCATGCGAGTTTGAGTAATCGTTGTTCTCCTGAATTCAAGAAAAGACCTGCTTCCAAAAAACCCCCCGTACCCGCCCAAAACTCTCTACTTTCATTTTGTATTTTTTTTTTGTTTGTTTCTTCAGTTTTTTTTTTTTTTTGACTGTATAAAAGTGTGTTGTGTTTTTTTTTTTGTTTTATCGCGTGTGTGTCTGTGTGTTGTAGATGTTTGAGATGATGGACCCGACCTGGGACTACAACCCGTACCCGGTCCTGACCCAGAATCCAACGCTGCGCACAGGTACGAGTCTCATACGAATACTGGGGTAAAGAACTACAGAGGTCAGGGGAAAGAGACCAGGACTGGACCAGGACTAGATCAGGAATGAACCAGGACTAAAATAGGGCTAAACCAGATCCTAAACCAGGGCTAAACCAGGTCTAATCTAGCGCTGAACCAGGACTGGACTAGGACTAAACCAGGACTAAACCAGAATTGAACCAGGACTGAACCAGGACTGAACCAAGGCTAAATCAGAACTAGACCAGGACTAGACCAGGACTAGACCAGGACTAGACCAGGACTAGACTAGGACTAGACCAGGATTGAACCAGGGCTGGACCAATACTAGATCAGGATTGAACCAGGACTAAAACAGGGCTAAACCAGATCCTAAACCAGATCCTAAATCAGGGCTGAACCAGGACTGGACCAGGACTGGACCAGGACTGGACCAGGACTGAACCAGGACTAAACCAGGACTAAACCAGGGCTAAACCAGAAACTGGACCAAGACTGGACCAGGACTGAACCAGGACTAAACCAGGACTGGACCAGGACTAACCAGGACTAGACCAGGACTGGACCAGGACTAAACCAGGACTAGGACCAGGACAGGACCAGGACTGACCAGGACTGGACCAGGACTGAACCAGGACTAAACCAGGACTAAACCAGGACTAACCAGGAACCAGGACTAAACCAGGACTAAACCAGGACTAAACCAGGACTAAACCAGGACTAAACCAGGACTAAACCAGGACTAAACCAGGACTAAACCAGGGCTGAACCAGGACTGAACCAGGACTAAACCAGGACTATTCATTTGTCAGTGATGTCATTTCTGATCGTTCACACTTCTGTCTTGAGCTCTGTTTAGTCCTGATTTACACTTTGTTTACTGCTGTTCTAGTTCTGCTTTAGTCCTGGTCTAGTCCTGGTTCAGTTCTAGGATTAGTCTCGGTGCAGTCCCAGTTCTGGTGCAGTGTTTGTTCAGCACAGGTGACATTTGGAAATCCCCTCTGATCACAGGTGGGTGTTGAGTTTATTGATGCGGCTGAGGTCATCAATATTTCCTGGGGATGTGACGCTAACGGGAGGCACTGCTCCGTCTGAGGCTCTGTCACTCAAGTCGGACTTAATCTGGTCTTTATTTCAACACAACCTCGATTTCCAAACTAAAGGTGCATCGTGTAACTTTTCTGGTGAACCGGGTCTAAATTAGGTCTAAACCAGGTCTAAACCAGGACTAAACCAGGTCTAAATCAGGTCTAAACCAGGACTAAACCAGGTCTAAACCAGGTCTAAACCAGGTCTAAACCAGGTCTAAACCAGGTCTAAATCAGGTCTAAACCAGGTCTAAACCAGGACTAAACCAGGTCTAAACCAGGACTAAACCAGGTCTAAACTAGGTCTAAATTAGGGTTGAACCAGGATTAAACCAGGTCTAAATCAGGTCTAAATTAGGTCTAAACCAGGTCTAAACCAGGTCTAAATTAGGTCTAAACCAGGTCTAAATTAGGTCTAAACCAGGTCTAAACCAGGTCTAACCAGGTCTAAACCAGGTCTAAATCAGGTGTAAACCAGGTCTAAATCAGGTCTAAATCAGGTCTAAACCAGGACTAAACCAGAACTAAATCAGGTCTAAACTAGGTCTAAATTAGGTCTATATTAGGTCTAAACCAGGTCTAAACCAAGACTAAATTAGGTCTAAATCAGGGTTGAACCAGGACTAAACCAGGTCTAAATCAAGTCTAAACCAGGTCTAAACCAGGTCTAAATTAGGTCTAAACCAGGACTAAACCACATCTAAATTAGGTCTAAACCAGGACTAAACCAGGTCTAAATTAGTCTAAACCAGGATTAAACCAGGTCTAAACCAGGTCTAAATTAGTTCTAAACCAGGTCTAAACCAGGTCTAAATTAGGTCTAAAACCAGGACTAAAAACATCTAAATTAGGTCTAAACCAGGACTAAACCAGGTCTAAATTAGTCTAAACCAGGATTAAACCAGGTCTAAACCAGGTCTAAATTAGTTCTAAACCAGGTCTAAACCAGGTCTAAACCAGGTCTAAACCAGGTCCATGTGCTCTTATACTTGTTTTGAAGCAGCTCAAGATTCTTCTAAAGAAATTCAGATTCAGTGTTAATTTCTGTTTGTAAATGGGATTTTTTTGTAGTATTGATACCTGCTCAAATGAGTTTCTAGTTTCAATACAAGTTTTCGTTTGAATCACCGCAGTTGAAGAGGTTTAAAGATGCTCACGCACAGATGAATCTCACATCTGAATTAGAAATATTTCTTATTTCTTGTTTTGCAGCGACCACAACCTCAGAACAGGATGTGCCTCTCGTGCAGCGCTCTGTACTCTGCCTTAGACCTGGTTTAGAACTGAGTTAAACCAGGTTAAGAACTGATTTAGACCTGGTTTAGACTTGGTTTGGAACTGGTTTAGACCTGGTTTAGACTTGGTTTGGACCTGGTTTAGAACTGATTTAGTCCTGGTTTAGACCTGTATTAAACCTGGCTTAGTCCTAGTTTAGACATGATTTAGACCTTGTTTAGTCCTGGTTTAGACCTTGTTTAGTCCCAGTTTAGACCTGGTTTAGTCCCGGTTTAGACCTGGTTTAGACCTGTTTTAGACCTGATTTAGACCTGGTTTAGACCTAATTTAGACCTGGTTTAATCCTGGTTTGGAATTGACTTAAACCTGGTTTAGACCTGGTTTAGTCCTGGTTTAGACTTGGTTTGGAACTGGTTTAGACCTGGTTTAGACTTGGTTTGGAACTGGTTTGGACCTGGTTTAGAACTGATTTAGTCCTGGTTTAGACCTGTATTAAACCTGGCTTAGTCCTAGTTTAGACATGATTTAGACCTTGTTTAGTCCTGGTTTAGACCTTGTTTAGTCCCAGTTTAGACCTGGTTTAGTCCCGGTTTAGACCTGATTTAGACCTGGTTTAGACCTAATTTAGACCTGGTTTAATCCTGGTTTGGAATTGACTTAAACCTGGTTTAGACCTGGTTTAGTCCTGGTTTAGACTTGGTTTGGAACTGGTTTAGACCTGGTTTAGAACTGAGTTAAACCTGGCTTAGTCCTAGTTTAGACATGACTTAGACCTTGTTTAGTGCTGGTTTAGTTTTGGTTTAGACTTGGTTTAGTCCCAGTGTAGACCTGGTTTAGAACCGATTTAGAAAAAATTTAGACCTGGTTTAGACCTAATTTAGACCTGGTTTATCTCTGATTTAGACCTGGTTTAGAACTGAGTTAAACCTGGCTTAGACCTGGTTTAGACCTGGTTTAGTCCTGGTTTAGTCTCCGTAACAGAGAAGAACAGACATATGTATTTGCGTGTGTACATAAAATGTATTTTCTTGTTGAGCAGGTTTTGCTTTAGTCCTGGTTTAGACCTGGTTAGTCTGGATTTAGTCTCCGTCTCTTTGTCGGCTGTTTGTTTGCTCAGTTAATCCTCTTTTACATCCGGTTTAAAGATTTTTTAAAATTTTAATTCTATAAAATTCACCTAATTTTGTCTCCAGATACGAGATAAACACGTTCAAATCGAATATAACTTTCGCCGATTGTGCACTTCATTACGTAACATTTTGGTGCTTTTTTTCCACCTGCTGGTTGCTATGGTTACGTCACTGGTATGTCCGGAATGTTCCACAGTGTGACATTAAACAGCTCTACCTTACAACCTTAGTTTTTTTCAATTACAGGACTAGATACTAACACAGTTCCTTAAATTTGGACTTAGTTGGGCCCGATTTTAGTCCAGTTTTCCTCTCGGTTTTGGTCTCGCTGTAGAACCTGGGCTCCGTATTGAGGAAAGAGGATTTGAGAGCCATAAATGCTAAAATCAAAGAGCGTGCGGCTTTCGAGGTAGAAACGTTTGGTTCGGGTCTGAGCCAGGGAAAGTCTTCAGATGAAATTGGAGTTTCGTGACGCTCTGCTGCTTCCTCTCACTTCCTCTTTCACTGCTTTTACAACACTTTACCACGCTTTACTGCACTTTACTTTTATTTACCTACATAAATGAGTTACTGTACAGATGGGAAGTGTGCTGAAATTTATTTTTATTTGTTTTATTATTTATTGCAGACATAAATATTATCTGGTCAAAAAAAAAAAAAAAAAAAAAAAATATATATACAAGGCAACCAAATTAGTTCTTAAAGTTCATTAAAAAAAAAAGTACTTATGAAAAATTATTAAATTGTATTATTATGTATTACAGGATAGATACAGCTGCTACTTTCTTTCTTTTTTTTTTTTTTATCTACTTCTTCAAATAAGACTGCAATTAAAATGAGTAAAATTTTACAATGTAGTAGTAGTAGTAGTAGTAGTAGTAGTAGTAGTAGTAGTAGTAGTAGTAGTAGTAGAGGAGAGATGGGGTAAGTGTCTTGCCAAAGAACACAACGGCAGTATTCAGTTGATGTGTGGGAGCTGGAATTGCACCGATACTAGTAGTAGTGGTAGTACTTTTTGTCGAATTTGTTGTAGTACTTGTTGTCGTATTTGTTGTAGTACTTGTTGTAGTATTTGTTGTAGTAGTAGTGGTTCAAGTTGTTGTTCTTGTTGTGATAGTAATTGTTGCTGTACTACTTGTAGTTGTACTTATTTTAATATTTGTTGTGGTACTTGTAGTAGTGCTTGTTGTTGTAGTAGTGGTACAAGTTGTAGTTGGTGTTGTTATAGTATTTGTTGTTGTAGTACTTGTTGTAGTAGTAGTGGTACAAGTTGTAGTTCTTGTTGTGATAGTACTTGTTGTAGTATTTGTAGTAGTAATACGTGTTATAGTGTTTGTTATATTAGTACTTGTAGTATTTGTTAAAGTAGTAGTGGTACTTGTTGTTGTTGTTGTTGTTGTTTGTTGTGGTACTTGTTTTAGTAATACTTGTTGTAGTGTAATACTGTACATGTAATACTTGTAATACATGTTGTAGTTGTTGAGTTGAGCGTTGTGGAGGAGGAGGTGCAGTCACTGTTTCCTGTCTCACCTCTGTGATCAAAGTTCATTTTCCATGTCATAGTTTGATCAGTTAGTCCATCGGATTATTTGTCAGTTAGTCCATGTGTTTGTCAGTTAGTCCATGTGATATTGTTTGTCAGTTAGCCCATGTGTTTGTTAGTTAGTCCATGTGATATTGTTTGTCAGTTAGCCCATGTGTTTGTTAGTTAGTCCATGTGATTATTTGTCATTTAGTCCATGTGATTATTTGTCAGTTAGTCCATGTGATTATTTGTCAGTTAGTCCATGTGTTTGTCAGTTAGTCCACGTGTTTGTCAGTTAGTCCATGTGATATTGTTTGTCAGTTAGCCCATGTGTTTGTTAGTTAGTCCATGTGATTATTTGTCAGTTAGTCCACGTGTTTGTCAGTTAGTCCATGTGATTGTATGTCAGTTAGTCCACATGATTGTCAGTTAGTCCATGTGATTGTTAGTTAGTCCATGTGATTGTCGGTTAGTCCACGTGTTTGTCAGTTAGTCCACGTGATTGTATGTCAGTTAGTCCACATGATTGTCAGTTAGCCCATGTGTTTGTTAGTTAGTCCATGTGATTGTCGGTTAGTCCACGTGTTTGTCAGTTAGTCCACGTGATTTTCAGTTAGTCCATGTGATTGTCGGTTAGTCCATGTGATTGTCGGTTAGTCCATGTGATTGTATGTCAGTTAGTCCACATGATTGTCAGTTAGTCCATGTGTTTGTCAGTTAGTCCGTGTGATTGTCGGTTAGTCCATGTGATTGTCGGTTAGTCCATGTGATTGTCAGTTAGTCCATGTGATTGTCAGTTAGTCCATGTGTTTGTCAGTTAGTCCATGTGATTGTCAGTTAGTTCATGTGATTGTCAGTTAGTCCATGTGATTGTCAGTTAGTCCATGTGATAGTTTGATCAGTTAGTCCATGTGTTTGTCAGTTAGTCCACATGATTGTCAGTTAGTCCATGTGATTGTCGGTTAGTCCATGTGATTGTCGGTTAGTCCATGTGATTGTATGTCAGTTAGTCCACGTGATTGTCAGTTAGTCCATGTGATTGTCAGTTAGTCCATGTGATTGTCAGTTAGTCCATGTGATTGTCAGTTAGTCCACGTGATTGTCAGTTAGTCCATGTGATTGTTTGTCAGATGGTCCATGTGATTGCCGGTCACGGTCGTGTGCAATCGGTTTCTAGTAAAAGTGTATGATACACTGGAGAACTTCCTGTATTAGCACATGACATCACAATGTGGAACAGAGTGTTTTCAGTTTGAAAGAAGAACTCAGCCTAAAGACGCAGGGTTTGTTTGTTTGTTAATCATTTGTGAATGAATCAAAACACAACTCCAGGTCTGTTTGTGACGAGGAAACAACATTAACCATTAAGTGTCTTGCCCAAGGACACAACAAAATTCATCTGTGGGAAATTGGAATCACACCGACAACCTGTGGGCCCTTTAAACCTGGTTGAGTTCTTCCTTAGTCCTGGTTTAGTCCTGGTTCGTTACATGGTTTGAATTATTTTTACGTGTTCATTTTTCCACCAATCAGAGCTGTGAATCCAAAAAGGGGCGGGCTTTAAACTTTACTCTCTTCTCTGATTGGTTGAATGTTTCTGTTTCAGTGGATGGTCCATATCTCCAAATTATTGAACAGCCAAAACAGGTGAGGAAACATTTAAGACGTTTTAGCTCATGATACCTTTTATTTACATTTGATTTCTTTTAAATTTATTTATTTATTTTTTTCCTGTCTTCCCTGTTGTCTTTGCGCAGAGAGGCTTCAGGTTCCGGTACGGCTGTGAGGGCCCGTCACACGGAGGTCTGCCAGGGGCCTCCAGCGAGAAGAACAGGAAAACATACCCCACTGTGAAGGTAAGACTAAGACTACAGCAGAACTACACCGCTGCGTTCCAAATGGAAAGTGAACATGTTAAAATGTTTGTAATAACTCACTCAACATGATCCTTGTGTTTTTATTTCGTTATTTTGTCCTTAAATCGAGATATATTAATTTTAAGTATAGACAAATCAGGTGCCTTCTTTTCAAACCCCGACGTCTAAACATGGCCGCCCGTTCAAGTCAGTTGGCCGAGCTCAATAGCGCATGTTTCTAGATAAACCTAGTCTGAGTAGGTACTTCCTGTGGCTCCCTAACCCTTAAACGTGCCACACCAATGCACACGTTTGCGCACAAGGACTACGGTCTTATGTATCACGTGATCGCTTTGACCAATCAGAGCGAGAGGAGCTAGAGCGGAGCCTGCGCGAACGATCATAAAGCGTTTTTTAAGACAACTGAAGGGTTTCGAATTGAGAAAAGGTCCATGTGATTATCAGTTAGTCCATGTATTTATCAGTTAGTCCATGTATTTGTCAGTTAGTCCATGTGATTGTCAGTTAGTCCATGTGATATTGTCAGTTGGTCCGTGTGATTGTCAGTTAGTCCGTGTGATTGTCAGTTAGTCCGTGTGATTGTCAGTTAGTTCATGTGATTATCAGTTAGTCCCATGTGATTATCAGTTGGTCCATGTGATTGTCAGTTAGTCCATGTCATAGTTTGATCAGTTAGTCCATGTATTTGTCAGTTAGTCCATGTCATAGTTTGATCAGTTAGTCCATGTATTTGTCAGTTAGTCCAAGTGATTATCAGTTAGTCCTTGTGATTGTCAGTTAGTCCTTGTGATTGTCAGTTAGTCCTTGTGATAATCAGTTAGTCCATGTGATTGTCAGTTAGTCCATGTGATATTGTCAGTTGGTCCATGTGATTGTCAGTTAGTCCGTGTGATTGTCAGTTGGTCCGTGTGATTGTCAGTTAGTCCATGTGATTGTCAGTTGGTCCATGTGATATTGTCAGTTAGTCCATGTGATTGTCAGTTGGTCCATGTGATTGTCATTTAGTCGTCTGATGTCAGTTAGTCCATGTATTTGTCAGTTAGTCCATGTATTTGTCAGTTAGTCCATGTGATTGTCAGTTAGTCCTTGTGATATTGTCAGTTGGTCCATGTGATTGTCAGTTAGTCCGTGTGATTGTCAGTTGGTCCGTGCGATTGTCATTTAGTCCGTCTGATGTCAGTTAGTCCGTGTGTTTGTCAGTTAGTCCGTGTCATAGTTTGCTCATGTGATTCAGTCCATGTGATTATCAGGACTGATCTGGAGGGATTTTTTTCGCTGTAGTACCATGGAGTGGCCACTACACTGACTCAACACAGCTCTAAGCAGAAATACTCTATCCAATTATTTTATAGATCCATGAGTGCAGGAGGGAACGAGCAAATACTTTCAACAACCTCGCTCCTGTCTGGCTGTTTGAGAGCTCCGCTGACTATTCCAACATCCCTTCATTACGACATGCCTCTATTTAAGACATGCCGGTTTTCCGACACTTTTTAATATTGCTATTCCGACAAATATTATGTATTATACGATCATATATTATAATATTATATTATACATAACCACATCTTTGCCATTTTTTGCCCTTACAACATGAAACTTGGCACTGCACACACCCGTACCATTAGGATGACATCTTCCGAGAGTGACGTGTGGAACAGACAGAGACACAGACAGATGTTCCTTGCATTAATAGACAGATATTATATTAAAACGCATGACTGTTTCTCACAACGATCAGTTTGGACATTTTCCCACTGTCTGTTATCCTCTGTGGCCGAAGTCTTCTCTGATCAAGATCTTTGCACCGGCCCGAGCATCTTATGATATACGAGCGCACAAAGTATAATAGGCTCACATTAACATTATTCATGTCGGAAAAGTGGACCGTTTGAAAAATAGTAAAGTGCCTCTACTCTGACAATGAAAAAAAAAAGTGTCAAAGTAGTGGGACACTTGAAAAATAATGTTTATGCCGCTACTCCGATAATTATACGTCAGTGTCAGAATATCGTCTTTAATATAGAGTCTTTGGTCGCTTTGATTCACAGTCCAAGTCTAGTCTATGGTCCCATGACACTTGTGCCCCTTGTGGACACCAAGAGGAACTGCACGGGCCATTTCCTGCCCTGTGTGTGTGTGTGTGTGTGTGTCTATGCCCCTGTGCATGTGTGTGTTTGTGATTGTGTGTGGTAATGTTTATGTCCCCTGTGTGTGTCCCCTTTGTTTACGTCTGTGTGTGCGTCCTGTCTGTGTGTGTGTGTGTGTCTGTGTGTGTGTGTGTGTGTGTGTGTGTGTGTGTGTGTGTGTGTGTGTGTGTGTGTGTCTGTGTGTCTGTGTGTGTGTGTCAGTGTTCAGTGTGCGACGGTCTGCTCTCTTCATCACGTCGTTCTCACGTGTTCAGACCAGGACCAGGGAAAACCCCAGATTCCTCCGTCTCATTTCACCTCATTTTAAAGACACGTTTATGTCACCCACCAACAGCGGTTTAAACCAGGAACCAGGACTGAACCAGGACTGAACCAGGACTGAACCAGGACTGAACCAGGACTGAACCAGGTCTAAACCAGGACTGAACCAGGACTGACTGAACCAGGACTAAACCAGGACTGAACCAGGACTGAACCAGGACTGAACCAGGGAACCAGGACTGAACCAGGACTAAACCAGGACTGAACCAGGGACTGAACCAGGACTGAACCAGGACTGAACCAGGGACTGAACCAGGACTAAACCAGGACTGAACCAGGACTGAACCAGGGCTGAACCAGGACTGAACCAGGACTAAACCAGGACTGAACCAGGACTGAACCAGGGCTGGACCAGGACTGAACCAGGGCTGAATTGGGACTAAACCAGGACTGAACCAGGGACTGAACCAGGACTGAACCAGGACTGAACCAGGGCTGAAACCAGGACTAAACCAGGACTGAACCAGGACTGAACCAGGGCTGAACCAGGGCTGGACCAGGACTAAACCAGGACTGAACCAGGGACTGAACCAGGGCTGGACCAGGGCTGAACCAGGGCTGAATCGGGACTAAACCAGGACTGAACTAGGACTGAACCAGGACTGAACCAGGGACTGGAACCAGGACTAAACCAGGACTAAACCAGATCTAAACGGGGCCAAAACCAGGACTAAAACTGGGTTTAAACAGGACTAAAACCAGGGCTAAACCAGGTGTAAACCAGGACTAAACCAGGGCCAAAACCAGGTCTAAACCAGGTCTAAACCAGGACTAAACCAGGACTAAAACCAGGGCCAAAACCAGGACAAAACCAGGGCCTAAACCAGGACAAAATCAGGACTAAACCAGGACTAAAACAGGGTTAAACCAGGACCAAATCAGGACCAAACCAGGATCTAAACCAGGACTAAACCAACAACTATAACAGGGTGAAACCAGGGTCTAAACCAAGATCAGACCAGACTGAACCGGGACTGTAACGGGACTAAACCAGGGTCGAAACCAGGCCTAGGACCAAGCCATAACGGGACTAAACCAGGACAAACTCGGGAGTCTAGTTCAGTTCAGTTCAGAGTTCTGTTCCATTGTGACATTTTTGTACAAGTGTGTTTACATTTTCATTGAGTTTGATTATTTTTGTTTTGTCTGAGGCTGAGAGAGTTTTGAGGAGCGACGGGGAGCGAGTGTTGATGTGATTTAACGTCGGGCAGAGTTGTGTTTTCGTTGTGTCGTGTGTTTTGACTCGAGTCTGTTTGAGTGGTTTGGTCCAGATGAGCCGGTTTACTCCACTTCCTGGTTCTGTCTTTCCTTTGATTTACGGCACTTCCTGCTCTTCGCTACGAGTCTTTCCACATGTGGGATTTCCCCTCGTTCTACTGTTACTGTACCAGGTCTAAACCAGGTCTAAACCAGGACTAAACCAGGTCTAAACCAGGACTAAACCAGGTCTAAACCAGGTCTAAACCAGGTCTAAACCAGGTCTAAACCAGGTCTAAACCAGGACTAAACCAGGTCTAAACCAGGTCTAAACCAGGTCTAAAACCAGGTCTAAACCAGGACTAAACCAGGACTAAACCAGGTCTAAACCAGGTCTAAACCAGGACTAAACTAAACCAGGTCTAAACCAGGACTAAACCAGGACTAAACCAGGTCTAAACCAGGTCTAAACCAGGAACTAAACCAGGTCTAAACCAGGACTAAACCAGGACTAAACCAGGTCTAAACCAGGACTAAACCAGGTCTAAACCAGGTCTAAAACCAGGACTAAACCAGGACTAAACCAGGTCTAAACTAAACCAGGACTAAACCAGGACTAAACCAGGTCTCTAAACCAGGACTAAACCAGGTCTAAACCAGGTCTAAACCAGGAACCAGGTCTAAACCAGGTCTAAACCAGGACTAAACCAGGTCTAAACCAGGTCTAAACCAGGACTAAACCAGGACTAAACCAGGTCTAAACCAGGTCTAAACCCTAAACCAGGTCTAAACCAGGCAGGACTAAACCAGGTCTATACCAGGTCTAAACCAGGACTAAACCAGGTCTAAACCAGGTCTAAACCAGGTCTAAACAAGGTCTATACCTGGTCTATACCAGGTCTAAACCAGGTCTAAACAGGGTCTAGACCAGGTCTATACCTGGTCTAAACCAGGTCTAAACCAGGTCTAAACCAGGGTCTAAACCAAGTCTAAACCAGGGCCTAAAACAGGTCTAAACTGGGTCTAATCTGGGGCTAAACTACAACCTAAACCAGGTCGAAACTAGGCCCAAACTGAGACTAAATCAAGCCACAAACTGTGGTCTAAACCAGAACCAAACCAAGACCAAACTAGGGCTAAACTACGACCTTAACCAGTGCCTAAACCAAGGCTAAATCAGGGCCAAAACCAGGGGCTAAACCAGGTCTAAACCAGGGGCTAAACCAGGTCTAAATCAGCTCTAAAACAGGACTAAAACAGGGCCTAAACCAGAACTAAACTAGAACTAAACCAGGTCTAGATCAGGGTCTA